AGAACATCTCTTATAAGCTGCTGAGTTTCCAGCTGTGTTCCCAACTCTAACCTCTTATCCAGGGTTAACCACTTTATTGATAGCTACCTAGGAACATTCCCATTGCTAAGACCAAATGTCATCATACCTCCTGTAGAAAAAACAAGTATTCAAACAAGCAAGCCAAGATAGACTAAAAAGAAAACCTGCTATCCTAACTCTTAGGGTAGCCAACAGCATGGAAACGTATCTAGGTGTGAGTCACTGGCCCCTCCTTCACTTCTCATCTTGTACAGCCTGCACTAAGTCAACCTTAGTTTTGAGACCTGCAAGGAACTTTCAAGATAACCTAGCCTTCACCCACAAACAGCTAAAGAGATCCAGAGTGCTGACATTTTGGCTGCTTGCCTCAGTTCTGTTGACCTTGAGGATGAAAGCATTCCACTACCACGGCTGTTTAATCTCAGCCTCCAAACAAATCTGCTTTCCTTATGGAACCAAAAGATCTGAGTCTAAGCCCTTGAAAAGGTGATTTTAAGTTAGTGAACAGGAACTTCTCTTTAACCACCTGCTGGCAGCTGGAGAGATGGCTCAGAGGTTAAGAGCACTTTTTCTCGAAGAGAAACCAGGTTCGATTTGCAGAATCCACATAGCAGCTTACAGCTGCCCATAACTCCAGTTTCAGGGGAATCAATGCCGTCTTCTGACCTCCATGGGATCAGGCATGCATGGGAGCAAAGCACTCATATACATAAAATAAAATAAATTAATGTTAACATCCCACAAAAGCTTCCTTGACCCAGTGAGGGAGGATAGCAAAACAAACAAACAGATGAATGACAAACAATGACAACAAAATACCTCCTAAGCAAGACGTGGTTGGTATGTGCCTGTAATCACAGAATGTGGGCCAGAGGATTGCCATGTTTTTGAGGTCAGCCTGGGCTGCATATTGAATTTCAGACCATCTTGAGCAACATGGTGAAACTGTCTCCAAAACCAAAAGTGGGGCCTGTAAGAAGGCTCAGTGGTTGAAGAGGCTGCTTTCCTTGGGAAGCATGTGTTGAAAGAGAGGACTGACTCCCACAATCTGATTTCCACATGGACACAAAATAAATACAAATTTAGTTTAGAAAATTAAAAAAAAAAACTGTAAGATTATAGCCTAGTGGTGTAGCTGTCTTAGTTCTTGTAAGTACATCTGTGTCATCTCACAATGACAACATTGTCTAATGAGGCATTTCTCAGACTGTAGCCCAATCACTAACAATATGTGACCGTATTGACACATCTCAACATGCTCAATTTTGTGGTTTTCTTGGTGTCTTGTTTCACTAGAAGTTTCAAAAAAGCTAATTCTCAAAGCTTGGTAATGGTGTGTGTGTGTGTGTGTAACCAAAAAACTTGACTGAATTAACTCATCAAATACTGAGTAAGTTCCTATACTATATATATATTTTTTTCACCCAGCAAATTAGTACTGAATCTATGTACTAGCAGAGGATTAATGAAATAGGCCTGTTAAGACTCCCTGGCACATTCTAGGGGTAGTCTGGCAATGTTCATGAAAAGCTTTGTTGTGCATGTGCACTGAATTAGCTATTATGCTACAGGAATACAGTTCATGAAAACAACCCAAAGCAGGAACAAATTGGGACAAATAGTTTACCACCATGTTTAAGAGTGAAAAAATTACAAATGTAAGTTACTTAGAAACTGCTTCTGCTAAACAAAACAAAAACAAAACCAGGGACTGCTCTTCTGGGCCTACAAGGGACAACAAGGCCTCCTATGCAGGACAGACTATGGTCAAGATGAGAACAGTTCCCTATGATGGAGAGACTACACTCTGGAGCAGCTCATCTAGTAGGAAGCAGATTGGTCTCCTCCTAATGACAAAGACTACCTTACCTGATGTGACCACCTTGCAGGACCGCTTGCTGATCATTACACACTTAAATCAGTGCTTTCCAAGGCTTCCTTTTAAAGTTTCCCATACACGGACACACTGATGTAGCCAAACTACTACCAAACCAATATTCCTAAATTCTTAATTTCACTTCCTTCTCAGTTCCAAAAATCTCTAATGGCATCAAGATGAGGTCTTCATAACTTGGGTCAACATAACTTGACTCTGTTGTACCTCTCCTCAGTGAAATTAGATTATTTAAATGTGGAGTCTGCAGCTATTTGTTAGCAGTGTGACCACTATATACTCCCTCAGTTTCTCCTTGTTGAAATGAAATGAAACTCTCCATTATCTGGCTGTCTTTACAAGGTGACAATCCATCTAAAGTGATCTTGGCTCAGGAGATGCGTCCTTTAAATGTTAGCTATTGTGTCTCAACAAACTGTGTCTCTGCTTGACTGCTCTATGATTTGTAATCACACAGTGCCCTGCCCCCTTCCAGGAACTCATCTGGAGGTGCTGCCTTCCACGAAGCACCCCACCTCCTCTACCCACTCCACCACCAGTAAAGAGTGCATCTTAGCATCTGTCTGTGCTCTAAGGTACAAAACCAGAAATACAGAAAACAGAACAAAACAAAACAGTCCAACCCTCTGCTCACATTCTATTTAGACATGGAGAAGCAGCAGCATAATAATGAATGATAGACCTCAAGAGAAGCCCTTCCTGGAGGCAGTGGAGATGCCTGCAGTGACTCAGGGAAGCTGAGTGTGTAAATAGGCTGGCTGGGTGTTTGTGAAGTACAAGCACCTCATGTTGTAGCAGTCACAGACTGGACTGGCAAGCTGGAGCATTGAGGCAAAAGGGAGCAGAGTGAATGCAGGCTCTAAGAAGGTGCTCCAACAGGTGCTGTTGTGTAGGCAGCTGACAAGGACATGGTTAACCCTGGATAAGTTGTTAGGGTTGGGAACACAGCTGGAAACTCAGCAGCTTATAAGAGATGTTCTGACCTCCACCCCCACCCAAGTGCTGGTGAGCACCCAGAAGCTGTACAAGAACCCTGAGGAATGCTGGGACTAAGTGGAGAAAGGGAAAATGGTATGTTCCAAGAAAGTAAGTGTGATGGGTCTAGAGTTAAGTATATTGAAGGAAGGACAAGTCAGGTTCACTCCTGACCCAACCTGCAGTGTCAGTGGTGTCAGTCCCACCGAGGGGCATTGTGGGAGCAGCATACTGTGTTTTGGATATGAAGGGCCACCTCAAGAGGCCCTTGTCCTCACAGTCTGGGCCTCAGCTGGTGGTGCTGTTTGGGAGTTCTCAAAACTTTAGCAGGGAGGATCTGACTGGAAGAAGTAAGTCTCTCTCCGTGTGTGTGTGTGTGTGTGTGTGTGTGTGTGTGTGTGTGTGTGTGTGTGTGTCCATCCTTGGGGGAATCTTGACCCTGGCCCTTCCTGTCTCACTTTCTCTGCTACTGCCTGCCATGCATGAACACCTCCCCTCTGTCACACTCTCCTGTTGACATCATGTTCTGCCCAAGCATGTGAGCTCAAAAGACCATGGACTGAGCCTTCTGAGGCCCTGAGGCAGAAATGGGTCTTTCCTCTCTTGTTCTCTCTAGTGTTTTGTTTATATACTGGGACAGTGAATGTATGGCAGTGAGTTGGGGTCAACTGTAGAGAACTGTAGAGAGTTAAGTGGACACTTTTTCTGAATTTGGTTGGCAGTAAGACTGATTGAAGAGTGTTTTGATTTTCCCTTAAATGCAAAGGATGTGTGTGGAAGTCAAGCAATGGGAAGAGCTCCTCTTTCATCGGTGATTGGCAGTGGAGTGGAGTGTGTGGGGTGCAGGGCAGGAGCGAGCTTGGGGAGCGTGGGAGGTGGGTGAGTAAAGTGGTTGCTGAGGCTTGCATGGCTTGCAGCCTGGGTCTTTGAGGTTGCACCTCTGGATCAGACTGTGGTTGCCTTTACTAGTCTCTTGTATCTTGTTGAACCAGAAACTTCTCACTAAGTCCTTACAGGGAAGTTTGTTGTCCCAGACACAGGCTGTGCCATGTAGGCATGGCCTGGTTGCTTCTTAAACTGGGAAGCTGGCATTCATTTCTATCAGTCAGTAATCCATGCTCCCTGTGTTACACCCAGCCAGATCTTTGTAACTGCCTTGACTGACAGGATGAAGGGACACTGATTTCTGAAGTCCCTCAGCTGGTGCGGTCACTGCATCTTCCTCTGGGTCATCTTCTCTTAGGACACAAGCTTGTGGTGCCTCAGCTGACACATAGAAGTCAGCTGCACTGAAGCCACTCCACCAGAGGGATGAGGAGAGACCTCAGAGAGCTCGGGAGAAGTGACTGGGGTGCCCCTGTTTTTAGCGTTCTTCAGCTCAGACCTGAGATAGTGTGGACCTGGGACAGGTCATCCTTGTGTCTGATTGCTCACCCACAGAACCTGTGAGCACAACAAATACTGTTTTACAAGGAGTCGGGGAGTAATGTTGCACAATCACAGTAAAAGGAACAGATGCCAACTCAGAGTCTGGCTGTGTGGTCAAAGAAGCAAGGCAGAATCCAAAGGGAAGTTGGAACTGCAACCGTGCTGTTTCTTAACATAGCCAAATAGTAGCTACTAAGAAACAAAACTCTTTTCTGTTGGTGCAAGGCAGAAACCAAGGCTGGGTACTTTGTAAAAAGAGGTTTAATTAGCTCATGGAAAGTCTAAGACTGGGCCCTGTAGAGAGAGTCCACTGTATCACTCGATGATCAGTCCTCTGTGAGAGGGACAGGTGCTGTGGAGGCGGGAAGCCAGAGATCAAGGAGGGGACAAGCTCTGTCTTTTGTAGCAACTTTTCTTTCAGGAGCTAACTGGGGTCCCAGAAGAACTACCTTTAGGCTTGCTTGCCATGACCCAGTGGCCTAATCACCTCCCTCTGGGACATGCCTCTTAAGGCTTTCAACACCTCCACTCTGTCATTTTGAGGACCAAGCCACCAATATGCATGAACCCTTAGAGACATATTCCAACCATATCCAAAGCTTGGCCCTAGCTATTAGCTGAGCTGTTCTTCATTTCTTTTCATACTTGGCAAACTTTCTTTTTCTTTTTCTTTTCAAGACAGGGCCTCACTAGACCAGACTAGCCTCACAGTTAAAGAGATCCTTCTGCTTCTGCTTTCTGAGCTCTGAGATTGAAGGCCCACCCTACACTTGGCAAACTTAGATACAAGTAAGAAAATGTGATTTTTTTTTTGGGGGGTGACATTTGGGAATATTCTCTGTAGCCCTCCCAAGCTAGAGTGGTTGGGGTGGCGAGCCCCTTACAATGGTGTGACAGATTGGAATGTTGTATGGAATCAATAGCAACTGGTCAGCATTGAGTTAGCTTCCAAAGGTTAGTCCTGTTGCTGTCAACTTTCCTCTAAAGGGGGTAAAAGAAATCTTGTTTGGAAAGTTTGGATGACTTCTTTTTTTGCAAAGGTGCATTCTTTATTTACCAGAAAAGAAGTGCTCTGTTACAAGTGGTCCTGTGTCCGTGTGGTAGGTTGGTGTTAGAGTCAGCCTGTGGTTGTGAGAACTTGTCAGGTCCCATGGTTTTGACAGGCTCTGGATAAAGTCTGTTTTCCAAGTTTTACTAACACAGTGCTTTGTTGCCTGTGACATGCTTGTAAGACTGACTCTGGAAGCTATGAGCAGAAAACTTGCCTGGCTCACCAGGAGATAGATACTTACTTCTCTTCATCAGTGACTTGATCAAGGCATGAGGAGCTGGAGCCACGGTTTGTAGGAAGATAGCCAGTGAGTTTCCATTGAAATGCCAGACACGATTCCAATGCTGTTGGTGAGCCAACTGTTACTTTCCAAGAAGCTTGCTTAGCTGAACCCTAAGAAGTCACTTTGTACCTGTATATATATTCTTTAATCATTCCCATTGCATATTTGGGAGAAACCCTGAAAATAGCTAAGCCAGACTGTCCAAATAAAGGTATGTTTTTTTGGTCACAGCTACTCATTTAAAAGTGCTCATTGGGCTGGCTGTGTAGGGCAGGCAGTTTCCTGGAAGCCCCTCCTCAGCTGGTTTGACTAAGGCCCCTCCCTTTCCTTTCCTGGGAAGTCTGAAAAGGAAAGAAGGGCGCTTACTTCTCCTTCTGCCCTCCAGAATGTCAGATGGATGGGTGGCCGGATTATGTGCTGCTGGGCTTTATGGGTTGACCTAGTTGAAATGCTAGGTACTCTTTCGTGTTTAATGCTAAGTGCTGGCATGCACTTCTGAGTGGAGAGGGTGTCCTCGTTGGTCTTGTGCGTTATTAGAGTGGCTTGTGGCTCTTGGCACTGTGTAGAAATTCAAGTGCTTCGGGAAGTTCTGAATAGTGTTTCCAAAAGTTTCCTGCAAGACCTAGTTGCATATGCCTACAATAAGCTCAGCCTTCAGGAAGCTGAGGCAGAAGGAGTATAAATTCAAGGTTAACCTAGGCTACATAAAATAGTGAGATTCTTTGAATATCCACCACCAGCTAGGCGTGGTGGCTCACTCCTTTAATCTGAGCACTTGGGAGGCAGAGGCAGGCTCTGAGTTCTAGGCCAGCCAGTGCTACACAAAGAGACTCTGTCTTGATAAACAATAACAATCAAACCAAAAACCTAACACCATTAGAAAACTTGGTTGTGACCCACATTATTCCCTATGACTTATTTATGCCTGGAAAATGTTACTAGCAGGTTGGGCTCTTGGGAGGCCTCCTGGATACGAGCTTTGGCTTTTCTTTTAAGAAGCCATTGATGACAGTACCTACTTTTGGGTCTTTTGAAACATCTGCCTTCGAAATGTGAACTAATGATTCTCTCTCTCTCTCTCTCTCTCTCTCTCTCTCTCTCTCTCTCTCTCTCTGAGACAGGGTGTCTCTTTTCTGGCTGTCCTGGATCTCACTTTGTAGACCAGGCTGACCTAGAACTCAGAGATCCTCCTGCCTTTGCCTCCCTAGTGCTGTGATCACAGGCATGAGCCACTACCTCCTGGATTTTTTTTTTCTTAAAAAAAAAAGCAAAACAACAACAACAACAACAAAACCAGGGTTTCCCTATGTAGTATTGGCTGTACTAGAACTTGCTCTGTAGACTAGACTGGCCTCAGACTAAGAGATTTGCTTGCCTCTGCCTCCTGAGTGCTGGCTGGGATTAAAGGTATGCACCACCACAGCTGACTTTCCTTTTTTTTTTTTTTTTTTTTTTTTTTTTTTTTTTTTTTTTTGGTTTACTTTACCTATAATAAAATCCACCCCTCTTAGTGTCTGCTTCCGTACAATTACATGGATTTGTGGGTGTGCAATTACTGTAGTTACCAGACATGGCTATGGAGACAGTTCACTTGGTGAAGCTCTTGCTAGGCAAGCATGAGGACCTCAGTTAGCTCTCAGGCAGCCGCAGCTTGTTATCCCAGCTTGGTTAGGTGGATACAGGGAGATATCTGGGGCTTGCTCCCTAGCCAGCTCAGCTTCATTAATGAGCTCCAGGCAGATGAGAGACACAGTCTCAAAAAACAGGGTGCATAGCCAGCTGCTGAGGAACAGCACTGAGGTTGCTGTTTGGCCTTGGCATTTATGCACACATACGTACATCTGCATACTGACTTTTTGGTACAGTAGTCTCAGGATATAATGTTAAAATGGGATTTAAGCTCAGTGATAGTGAGGGGTATTCATAGACCCTTTTAACTACATCTGCTGCATGGTAGAATTTCTGGGCCTAGTCCCACACTCGCAACAAGAAAAGCATCAGTCTGTTACACACTGTTGCTTAATCTAGGGAAGTAGATACTAACAAATCTGAAATGTTTAGAAATCTTCCAGTGAGATTTTGAGTTTAAAATGTGTCAGATTAAAATACTTTATAAAACACAAGCCATGGCAGAGTGGTTCTCCACTCCTCCTACCCCAAGAAAAGAAAGATTGACTATCATACCCAGTGAAAGCTAAATGAAAGTGAAGGACCCTTTAGTTAATTTATAGGGTTGCTTCTTTGTGTCACTTTAGTATTGTCTGTTTAGAAAAAAAAAAAGAAAACGGAACTGTCTTCCTCAAACAAATGTGATGTTAAAGTTGCTTAAATAATGGCCAATTTATTCTGCATCTGCTGGGAACAAAATAGTCTGTGTGTTTGGGCTTTGTTCAGTACGACAGGGTTTCGAGGGTGGTGGTGATGGGATGGGAGTTTGAGGGTGTGATATGGTGATGCGATGGGGTTGTGAGGGTGGTGTGTGGTCATGTGACAGGCTTGGGAGGGTGGTATGTGGTCATGTGACAGGCTTGGGAGGGTGGTATGTGGTCATGTGACAGGCTTGGGAGGGTGGTATGTGGTCATGTGACAGGCTTGGGAGGGTGGTATGTGGTCATGTGACAGGGCTGGGAGGGTGGTGTGTGTGTGTTGTTGCCCTAAGTCCTGCTCTCATTCACAGAATGAGTCATGTGTGACCTCTCCTTCCTTTCCCTTCACCTTGACTACAGAGAGGTACAGAAAGCAGTCAACACTGCCCAAGGATTGTTTCAGAGATGGACAGAGCTCCTTCAGGGCCCGTCCGCAGCAACCAGGGAGGAAATCGACTGGACCACCAACGAGCTGAGGAACAACCTCCGCAGCATAGAGTGGGATCTGGAGGACCTTGATGAGACCATCAATATCCTTTTTTCTCTGTGGTGTCTGGGTGTAGGAACTCGGGGGGCATAGGCAAGAGGGCTGTTCTGTCCAGACCTTGAGCCATAGATAAGAGGTCTGCTGTTACAGTGATTGATCTGACTCTTCTTTGTACCATGACACATTTGAAGGCTGCCTAGTGAGCTCAGGTGGGATAGCCTTGTTCTTCCATGGATGGATTATCCAGGCTGCATAGAGCAGTGATCATCACTTTGGACCCTGGAGTCAGTGTGCTGGTGGTCAGTTTTTCATTCCACCATCGTAAAAGTAAAAATAAACTTTATCTCGTACACAGTAAAATACTAATACTTGTGATATCTGTGCACATTTCCCTCACACACCAATCAGTTCTCCAGCAGACACCAGCCAAGTGTCCTACAGTTTTGACACTGTCTACCTGGAGACAACATGGTATGCTCTAGCATTCACGGCTCCCATATCAGATGCCGCATGCAAACCCCAGGTTCTGACCCATGCTTCAGACCCACATCCTGTTTGTTTAACTTTCAAGAGCAGCTTGTAGAGCTCAGGAAAATGCATTGCTTAGGTTGTCTGTGTGTTGTAAAGTCTGTGTGCAGAAGAGAAGCACAGGGAAGGTATGGCAGAAGAGCATATGTGGCCTCCAGGAATGCTATCCTCCTGTGGCACTCCACAGGAGCCTGTCCATTGCAGGTTTATGAGAGCTTCATCACAGAAACATTATTGGTTAGGTGACTGGCCATCAGTGATTAGCTCAGCCTTTAGTCCCTTCTCCTCCAAGGGGTCATTGTGGGCAATTAGTTCAGATCAGTAATTGCAACATTGTTTTGTTTGGTGATCAGAGGAACTGTGTAGCAATTATCAGCCATCTACTCGCAATAGCAATAGAATCTAGAAACTCCAAGGGCCATAGGAGCTCTGGGCCAGAGTGTTGAATACATATTTGATAATAGTGTCACAATAGTGAGTGGCTTTAGCCACATTAGTAAGCTTCTCTGTGCTTTAGTTTCCTCTTCAGAAGAACACTAGGACAATGAGAGTACCCAACTTACAGACAGTGTCAAGAGAGTTAGATGTATGAAGAGCTTAGAATGGTGCCTGCCCAGAGTAATTGGCTGTAAAGGATGAGCAGTTATGCTGGGCATGCGTCATGGTAATACAGCCCTTGACTAACCTAACACATGAGGACCAGGGTTCTGGCTCTGTAGAAACACACTCGTGAGTGCATACACCACACAAGCAGTCATTGCTGCATAGCAGAATATACAGATCAGTGCTGCAGCTTGCTAGTTAGAACTCAAAGACTCCACTTCCCCTTAAGAAGTGATTTTAAAATGCCACTATCCATCGAAGAGCTACCTGTACCATGAGAACTGTTTGGTGAGAGCAGATTCAATATGCTGGTCTATGCAGTTGATGCTGGGAGAAAGGTCAGACTGATGAACTAGAGATCTGTTGAAGCTGAGTTGTGCAGCTTTCTGTTTTCAGCTGGAAAGTCTCTGGAACCAAAATTTTAGTTAGAAAGTACGCCAGTTCTGTGTCTGACTTCTGGTTTATGTTTTTCTTTGAAATAACACATCAAAGAAACCAGCTTCTAGAAGGTGCACTCTCTAGGCAGCATAGGGAGTTGATATGCAGAGTGTTAATTGTGACGCTAGTGACCATAGTAGTTTTTCTTCATTAATGTTTTCCATGGTATCTCTTACGTCAGTAAAAGACAAGTAAAATAAAATGTAAGGGGATAGGATTACAAGCAATTATAAGGGATATTGTTTCCTTTGAGACAAATTGGGAGGCATGAATTGTAAGGCAAGAGAACAGAGGGGCAGTGGGGACAGACGAGCAAAGGGTAATGGCACAGATGTGTGGCATGCTGCAGAGAACCCATTGCTTCACATGATAACCAGATTTTTAAAAGACAACACACAGATAATCAAAAACTTAAAACCTGTAAGACAGAAAAGAAAATTGGTAGTGCTAGGCATGGTGGTGCCCACCTGCAGTCCTAGCACTCAGAAAGATGACGCAGGAGAATCACAAGTCAAATGACAATCTGGGCTTTAGGCTAGTTTTTGAATTCTAGGCTAGCCTTGATTGCATAGTCTGCCCTTGTCTCAATGAAACCATGAGATAAAGGACAAAAGTTTTGGTATTTATCATTCATTCAGCAATCATTTATTGAGTATTCTGTGTACCAAACATTTTCTTGGTTTTCAAGGTTAGGTCCAATGAAACTAACTACCAGGCCTCATGGAATTAGGGTTGGGAACAGATAATAAATAATAACACAGATAATAAATGTAATTACAGGCTATGAGAGAGACCATAGAGATTTTTCTAGTGTCTGTCCTAAGGCAATTGAACCAGGCCTGAAGGTAAAGGGAGCAAAGGCAGCTCCCTGATCTCTTTAGGGTGAGGTAGAGGGTTAGCATGTTGGCATAAGAAAAAGAGTTTTGGAGTGGTAATTTAAAAGGTTTGCAGAAGCTGGCTGTGGTGACGCTATGCCCAGTACTAGGGAGGGTGAGGCAGAACTACAGGTTCAAAGCCTGGCTACATAGTGACTTCTAGGCCACTGGATTTCCTGTGTCAGCTAATCAGAAGGCTAAAAAGGATAGACACAAGTGTTGGCAAACATTAGGAAGATCCTAGCTGATCCGTGGTCAGATAGCCATGAATCTATGGTGAGCCCCATAGCTCTTTTCCTTTCCTTTCACCCCAGCTACATTTCCTGCTCCTGGTTTTTGAGACAGAGCTTGGCCTGGAACTGAAGATCCACCTCCCAAGTGCTGGGGTTACAGGTGTGCTCCATTATGCTTAGCTAATGGGGCAAATTTTAGCTTACCAGGTTGTCTCTGTCTTGGGACAGAGGGATCTTCACAAAGCTGTGGTTGGAGAGAAAGTTTAGGGATGCTTATATCACGTTGGCTGTTTTTAGGAGGTTTGGGCTGTTTGGTTCTCATTTCAGTATCCTGTAGTTTAACAAGATGCTTATAGCTTCAGATGGTGCATTTGCTTTACCTTAACTTTTTGGTCCACGCATAGTTGAAGCAAATCCTAGAAAATTCAACCTGGATGCAACTGAGTTGAGCATAAGAAAAGCCTTCATCACAAGTACTCGGCAAATTGTCAGGGTAAGGCGCATTCCTTACAGTATTAGCTGTATAGGAAATAGACACACTTCTCAAAACCCACCCTCAATCACAGACCAGCAGGTTGACTCTGAAATAACCTGTCAGCATGAACTCAATGCAAGTGTCCCACATACAACTTCCCTGGCTCCATGGAGGTGAGGTGGTGGGGTGGTGGTAGTGTCTACTTTTAATGCTATCTGGTTTGTTAGAATGAACATGAGACAATAAACTGCTGGATAAAAGGTTACTTTAACAGCATGATCTCACTTGCCTATATGGCCAATTTCTTTAAATAGTGATTTAAAAAAATCTCTTAATGTGCTCAATTTCTGGACAAAAGGAAAGTCTTGTAGAAGCCATTTGGTTTCCTGATTGACTGGTAATCATGTGCATTGTGAAGAGTGGCTCTTCCTGGGTTTGGCTGGTGGCCCTCTCTACCATCTGAGTTGCTTCTGGAACTCCTACCACCCGTGCTATTACTATTGCCATGTACAACTGCTTGACAACCTCTTAGGAATTACCCTGAGCTGGCAAGCCAAAATGCATGTAAAAACATGCCATCAAATAGACTCATCTTTAGTACTAAATTATTTAGAATACTACCCATTAGTAAAGCATAAATATAGTTTAGGTAAAATCTTGTGTCATTCAGATGCATTCTGAAACTATAGGGCTAAGCCGTTTGATTAGCATAACTAGATGTAAGAAAAGCAGCTGCCATTAACATATGTCCTCGAAAGTAGCTTCCTTGAAGAAAAAGACTTGGGATCAGACCAGTGATGACATATGGCAGGAACCTTGCTGTGTGCTTGCCAGAAACTTTTATCATGTGATTTCCTCTTGAAAAGATCTGAAATGGTAGATTATCATGAACTTTATACACCCTTGTTTCTTGTTTCACTCAGTAGTTGGTCTTTCCCTGTACCTATAACTAGGTTGTGTGTATAACACTCACATGTCATAGAGCAGAGACCTTTTTGACTTCAGGTGTCCCGTGGATTCAACATTCTGACTTTCTAGGCAGTTGTAAACTCTGCTCTGCTAAGACACTGTTAGGTGACATCTTTGGTGTATAATTCCCTCAATTTTTTTATTTACTTACTTAGACAAGATCTCACTCTGTAGCCCACACTGGCCTCAGCCTCCAAGTACTGGCTTTGTGAACCACTGCATCTGACTGTCTGAGCCTACTGTGCGCTTGAACCAAACTCAGGAACAGCATCAGGTGCTCTTAACCACCGAGCCATCTCCCACCCTCAGTTATCTCTTAAATATAGTTGGTTTTCCTTCTCTCCCTCCCTCCTTGCTTCTTCTGTCCCATGCTCTTTTCATCATTTCTCCTCCCTTCTTCCTTCCTCCCCTCCCTCCCTTTTTCAATATTGATTTTTCTGAGGGATGCTACTTTTGACCCTAATATTTCATGGTGCCTTGCGGTAAAGTATATATTCTTTAATCAGTGCACTTATTTTTTCTGTAAGGTGATATTTGTGAGTTTTGAAAATTGGAATTCAAAGATCTCAGTATACTGAAAATTAAATTGGCATAACTATGACTGGAGGTAGATAGGGAAGTTCATTTCTTAATATTTGAAAATCTGCTTAAAGTACATCTTAGAATTACTTTAATTTTGAAGATTTATTTATTTATTTTATGTGTATGAGTGCTCTATCAACTTTATGCCAGAAGAAGGGGTCAGATCCCAATATAGATGGTTGTGAGCCACCATGTGGTTGCTGGGAATTGAACATAAGACCTCTGAAGAGCAGCCAGTCTTCTCAACCACTGAGCCATTTCTCCAGCCCCCTTAGAATTATTTTAAATCATGGCAATACATCAGAATTTTACTATCCTTATAGAGTGTGAGATCTGCACCATACTCAGTTGTGTTTTCAACAGACTATTTGATAGACTTTTAGTTTTAATTTACTCCCTCCCCCCAATTTTGGGAAGCTGTTAGTAATTGCCAGCTTTACTAACAGTAATTACACCTGAACTTTTGCCGATTTGGTTTTTAATAACTTTTAATTGACAGTCTTACAGAAAAGAAAAAAATAAGAATCACCTTCACTAAAAACAAAAAGTTGCCTGGCAGTGGTGGCACACACTTTAATCCCAGCACTTGGGAGGCAGAGGCAGGGGGATCTCTGTGAGTTCGAGACCAACCTGGTCTATAGAGTGAGTCCCAGGACAGCCAGGGCTGTTACACAGGGAAACCCTGTCTCAAACAACCAACCAACCAACCCCAAATAGTTGCATGTGTTGACTTCAGTTTCTGTGTTCAGCTGACGAGATCTCAGGCTCTTGGTAGAAACTGTGGAGAAGGGACAGTGAGGTAGCAGATTTGGGAAATGGACAAGACAAAGTTTACACAAGGACTTTGAAACCACAGGCTTAGGCAGCACTAATCCTAGTGACCTTTCATTTAGTAGTGCCCTACTTTTTTTTTTTTCATGTCTTAACTTTAATTTTTTTTTTAGATTTCATGTATAAGTGCTGTATATCCATCATTTCTACGCTCCTCTCTCCCCCTTTCAACTCCTCCTTTGTCCTCCTCACTTGCTCTCAAATTTGTGACCTCTTTGTTCATTATTATTGTTACACACGCACACACACAAATGTATGTATGTGTATATATGCATGCATATGAATATATAAATACAACCTGTTTCTGTTTAGTATTGTTTGTATGTATATTTGTGTAGATCTAACTACTTGGGATTGAGTAGCCTGTCACAGGCTTGTCCCTGAAGAAGACTGAATGTCCCTCCCAGCAGCTATTCATAGTCTGTATAGGAGAGGAGCCTGTGACATTTCCCCATCCATGTTAGGATATCCACTGGTGTTGTCATTGTTCAGGTCTTGTTTAGATGACTATTGTTACAATCCCATGGATGCATTTCCCTGTCATTTGTAGAAGACAGTGTCTCACAGCAGACTGCCTCGTCTTCCTGCTCTTCCAGTCTTTGCAGCCCCTCTTGGTGATGTTCTCTGATGTGCCCCTGAACCTTCACTGTAGGGGTTGTGTTGTAAATTCATCAGCTGGGGCTGGGCACCCCACAGTCAGTTGTTCTCTGCATTTTGACCAGTTGTGATTGCTATAGTGGTTCCCATCTGCTGCAGAAGCTTCTGTGATTTGAGTGAGAGTTATGCTTGTATGTGGGGTAAGGATAAGCACGTAGAATGCAGCTGGGTGTGAAGAGTTCTTACCACATGTATATATGGTACACACACACGCACGCACGCACGCACGCACGCACGCACGCACGCAAGCACGCAAGCACGGTAAAAAACTATATATATGATCTCATTACATAGCCCTGGCTGGCCTTGAACTCATAGAGATCAGCCTGCTTCTGCCTTCTAAATGCTGGGACCAAAGGTGTGTGCCACCACCACCTGGTTTCTAGAGAGTATGCTAACTTGATTGTGTCACTTCCTCAGGCAGAAGAGTCAGTGATACATAATAACTTCTTTATGTGAAGAAGCAAATCTTTCTCCTGTATGATTTGTATGTATGCTACTTGTGCATGCTGGACAAGCACTCTGCCCCTGAGCTACAGCAACAGCCCTACTCCCAAGTGATTTTCTGATTAATATTCATTGGCCACTAACTTTATACTCGTCCCTTGTTTGAAGAATTTTGTGTATGTTTTTCTAAGCATCTTCTAAGACTGTCCAATTTTTATTAACGTTTCCTCATAAGTTTTAGCTGAAAAAATAAATTTTAGTTTTGATGTAATACAGCTCTTTGTTCCCTTCTTTTCTTTTGGCTTAGCGCTAGAGATCAAGCTGAGGTCCTCATGCATTCTAGATAAAGCACTCTAGCACTGAGCTATCCTGGCTCATTTCTATTCGCCATGCAAGGCTTCACATGGGAAAGTGCTGTTTTGTAGGCACATCCTGCAAGTGACTTTGGGTTATTCTAGTGATTCAGTAATTTAGTTTGCAGCATATACCAGGAGAACAGTAAAAGCCCAAGAAACCTGAGCTGTACGTTAAGCTCTGACCTTAATAGATTTTCATCACAAACCATAAGCCTCCCTGAACCTCCATTTTTATCTATGAAACAGACCTTACTAACATTCTCCGATTTTAACTTTGGGAGGAAAATCAGAACTGCACCTGCACCCTGCACCCAACACCCAACATTCCACAATATGTTTTACTCAAGAACTGTTTGCCATCAGTTAGCTGTTATCAGTTAGAGCAGAAGTGACTTTGGGTTAGTCTAACAGGTTAAGATAAGCACGGGCACACAGATAGTATTGGGACAAGGGGGTTGTGAGTGGGGAGTGTTGCCATCAACAGTGTCTCATTCATTTAGCTTGGAAACAGTTTAGATGAAAATAGGAACATAAATAACCAGGACATTTGTTGTTCTTTTGGCAGATGGATCATGTTTTATTGGGACTAACTGCTGATCCTAAGCTTCATGTGTTAGAAAGACGATGAGTAATTATGTTTTTGGCATGATAGATTGTTACAAGATGTTTAAAACTGTTTAGTAACACAGCTTAAAATTCCATATCCCAGTGTGGAGGTGATCTGCTGTGTGGTGTCTGGTGGCCAGCCTACATATATAAAATGCCACCTACACGTGAAGGTTGCACTCCACCACGGCTCTGAGCATGTATAGAAGCACACAGCCTTTAAGAGAGTGTATCCAGCAGGAAGGTCTCTCTCTCTCTCTCTCTCTCTCTCTCTTTCTCTCTCTCTCTCTCTCTCGCTCACTTGCGTTCTCTCTCTCATTCTCTATGAAATAAAAACTTCAAAGTCTAATATTAAAGCATATTTCATTCAACTATTACATGCTTATTAAAGAAAATTAGAGTAGCCTTTTTACAAGAGGAGGAAAAAACCCTGTAACTCAAAATAATCCTTGATCCAGCACTATGTTGTAGCTTCCTCTTGATGAATAGCTGGAACCCTGTTGTTAAGTGCGTGTTTATGTCTTAAGAGTATTCTCAGCCTGGTGTGGTGGTTCGCGCCCTTAATCCCAGCACTCAAGAGGCAGAGGCAGAGGCAGAGGCAGAGGCAGGTGGATCTCTGAGTTCGAGACCATCTTGGTCTGTAGTGAATTTCAGGACAACTAGGACTACACAGAGAAACCCTGTCTCAAAAAATCAAGAAAGAAAATAACAGTCTTCATTTACATTTTATAAAACTTGCAATTGAAAACCCAACTTTTTATGGGCATGCTTAAAAGAGTTGACCAATAACGGAATTTACATTTTAGTTAATTAAAATAATTTACTGACCTTGTTTGAAGGAACTATGGCCTGTATGACCCCTGCGTTGGAAAGAGCAAATTTTGATAATCCTTTTCAACGGGTACATACTTATATTATATATGTGTCCATTTCAGTGGTCACTGTTTATCACCACAGTGGCCCTGTGAGTGTCTGATGCAATTGTACAGAAGAAATGGAAATTTAGCAAGCTGCCCAACTTAGCCCAGTCACCTATTGCTAGGTCTTGAACTCAGCTCATCTTTCCTGGTCTAACCGGGAAAATGCCTCTAGCTTTGCTCTGGTCACTGGTGGGCTCGTGCCTCTTTCCATGCTTGATTATCTGTCGTCTGCTTTCAGAGAGGAGGCTCCTGATCAGCATGCTGAGTATCTGCAGTCCCATAGTGCAAGGCTTTACGGTACCTTCCTTCTTCCCCTCTATTTGGACATAGTCCTTACTTCTACTTTTATGTTGTAAATGACACTGCAGAAAATTTTTACACATCCATTTTGGTTAATTCCTTTCCATAAATTGCTATTGATGGGGTCAAGGCAGTGAATATATATTTTTTTTAGAAAGGATTTCTCTGTGTAGCCATGGCTGTCCTGGAACTTACTCTGTAAACCAGCCTGGCCTTGAACTGAGAGATCCACCTGCTTCTGCCTACCAAGTGCTGAGATCCAAGGTATGTGCCACTACTTCCCAGATAGCAGTAAATATTCTTAAGTTGTTTGAAACAAAACAACAGAATTCATTTTCAAAGAGTATTAGTTTCTTAAATACTTGATTGACGTACAACAATATAGAAAAAGTCCATATCCTCAGCAGTCAGTTTGGTGAGTTTATTACAAAGATACTCCATTTGAGCATCACCTAGAAGCATAAAGTAGGTTTACACATTATTCAGGAGCCTGTTGGAGGTGTGTTCAAGTCATTATCTACCCCTACCATCCAACTTTAGTCAGTAAACATATTGTACATACAGTCTTTGAAGGCTAAGGTGCTACAGTTTTATGTACACAATGATTCCATTATGAAAGTGTCATTGTTTTCTTAGAAAGACTCAAACTGTTTTAGAAAGATTGTTATAAAGATGGCAAACTGGTGAACATCTCCGATACTGCTCTTTCTTACTAGTAATGCGCATTAAATAAATGTAATTTCTGGATTGAATAAATGTTATCTTAAACTAACTTAGTTGATAAATAGAAAGAGAATTCTGCAATCCTGGACATGCTATCATAACATCTTGTTTGAGGTTTCTAGAATTTGTATATAGCAGAGGCGCTCAAGTTTCAGTCTTTGTTGTTGTTTGTTTTTTGTTGTTTGTTTTTTGAGACAGGATTACTCTTTGTAGCCCTGACTGACCTGCTCTGCAGTCCAGGTTGGCCTCAAACTCACAGAGATCTGCTGCCTCTGTCTCCCAAGCACTGGGACTAAGGTCATGCGTCACCATCTCCTGGTTCAAGTTTCAGTCTTAAGACTACCCAGAGAGACTTGTTAATAAAGACTTGCCATAAAAAAGAGCCTGTGGTATAGATCAGAATGGGACCGAGAGAAGTGCAGTTTTAGTAATGTCTTGGGTGTCTGAGTCAGGTACTTCACTATGTGAGCTCCAAGGGAGCAGAGAACTAAACCATGCCACTTGCTGCATGCTTGGTACATATCAGACATCAGTAAGTGCTTGCAGAATGATCAGGTACTTTGAAAGTTGAAGTAAGGTTGTTTTTCAGAATTAACCACAGTAGGAATTGTAAAGCCAGGGTATGTCCAATCTAGCATTCACTGTCACAGGTCTTGATACCTGGCAGGGTGTGATGGTATACCCCTTAATCCCAGTACAGGGAAATAGAGGCATGCAGATCCCAGATTTCAGGATTAGCCTGGTCTACACAGTGAGTTCCATGCCCATCGGGGCTACAGAGTACAACACTGTTTACAACAACGGAAGTTGAGTAACATAACATTTGCATCTTTAAGAATAAGTCCACTTGAAATTTCAGAAAATTCAGAAACTCAGAAGAAAATTGCAGAAAAACAGAAAATTCCAAAGTATCTTGACCTTTTTTTTATAGAAAGAGAAAATTGTATTATAGTTACACCATACTTACTTTAGATCTTTTTTCTAGTATTCTCCATTGTAGTTAAATGAAAGAATTAAAATGGCTCATATTTAATGAAGTTTTGCTTAAGGTTAAATAACATATCCCCCAATTTTTGATAATGCTTTAGAATCACATATAGAAACAGTCTATACTGTGAAGGAATTAGGCTCAGCAGTAAGGCACATGCAAGAGTTTCTCGGTATTAATGGTAGATGCACTTTAAGAAGAGCAGGTCTTACGTGTGTTTTAAAGCATGCTAGTCCTGAGCACAGGCTCTACAGGCTTTTTACCTTCACACTGTCCTGTTGGCTGCACGACTCTAAAAAGAGCAGTCTTTCTGGACCCAGGGCCCCTCAACCTGAAAACTGAGATCACATCGGCTTATTCAAGTTCTGGAAAGTTTGGGAGAGCTCCGATTCTGTCTGGTAGTTGCCCTTTTCTTTCTAGTTAAATTTAGTGTCTGTATTACCTGTTTTTAAGGTCTTACCTATTTCTTTTATGTTTGAAATGGAAAATAAAAGCCAAAGAATGCTGTCTTTTTTGCTTAAAGATAAGACAATCAATTGTGTATTTTGCTAATACGGGAAATACTAGCCACAGTTTTCTTTAAGGGTATTTTCCCCTTTGTTTCTGCCCTTTCTGTTTGATTAGGACATGAAGGATCAGATGTCAGCTTCATCTGTGCAGGCATTGACTGAAAGGAAAAACAGACAGGTGAGAAAGCATCTGAATGTAAGTGTCCATTAAAGAAAATATGTGTTTAGACACTTGAGATTTGAAATTGCTGGCCATCTCTGGATCATGTGATCAAGAACAAGACCTGTGTACACTGGCCCTGGGGTGATAGGGTACTTATGGTGACCGTCTTTTGTTTGTTAGTGCCTGTTTTTTTTTTTTTTTAAGATTTTATTTATTTATTATGTATACAACATTCTGCTTCCATGTATATCTGCACACCAGCAGAGGCACCAGATCTCATTACAGATGGTTGTGAGCCACCATGTGGTTGCTGGGAATTGAACTCAGGACCTCTGGAAGAGCAGCCACTGCTCTTAACCTCTGAGCCATCTCTCCAGCCCTAGTGCCTGTTGTTATACTTGCCACTGTAACAAACTCCCAAACTTACCTGCTTATGAGAAGAGGGCTTTACTTTGGCTGGTTGGTTGGCAGGTTTTACCTATGATTGGTTAGCCCCAGTGCTTATGAGAAGGGGGTTTTACTTTGGCTGGTTGGCAGGTTTTACCCATGATTGGTTAGCCCCAGTGCTTTTGGGCATGTGGCAAGACATCATGACAGTAGGACACAAAACCCACTAATTCCACTTCCTTAAAAAATTCTCATAAAATATATTTTGTTCATATTGTTTGCTGAAAGATCGGAGAAGCAGAGCAGCCAGCCACTAGTCTTTACCTCTACCTCAGATTGAAAGGGCGATCCTGCCTCTAGGAATCCTCAGACTGAATGCTAGGAGTTCCTGTCTCCTCCTGCCTTATATTCCTCTGTCCACCCAGCCATATCCCTGCCTGTCTCTACCTTCCTAGTGCTGGGATTAAAGGCATGTGACTGCCAAGTACTGGGATTACAGGTGTGTGCCAACAGTGCCTAGCATCTGTGGCTAACTTGTATGGCTAAGTCTGTGCTCTGATCTCCAGACAAGCTTTGTTAGAGCACAAACAAAATATCATCACACCCCAACTTTCCTTAGCTTTCCCCCTCCTTACCTACTCCATTTCATATTCTTTTTTTTTTTTTTTCTTAAAAAAGCAAAACCAACAGCATGTAGTCCATTTTGTGTTGGTGAACTACTCCTGGGCATATGGGCAACTAGCCCACTTCCTCGTCTCCATGCTGGGATTTTGTCCTGTTTGAACCTGTGCTGGGCTTGTCCATGCTGTCATAGTTGCTGTAAGTTCATATGTGCATCAGCCCTGTTTGTCTAGAAAAATGCTATCTCCTTGGAGTCACCCACCATTTCTGGCTCTTACTATCTTTCCACCTCCTCTTCTCTAGATTCCTGAGCCTTGAGGGGAGGGGTGTGATGCAGACACCCCAGTTAGGACTGAGTGCTCCAAAGTCTTTGACTCTGTACATTGTTTAGTTGTGGGTCTCTGTTAATTACCATCTACTGAAAGAAGAAGCTTTTCTGATGAGGGTTCCCCTATGCACTGATTTTATGGTATTAGCTACACTTTTTAAAGATTCCATTACTCTCAGGGGTGCCACAAGCCAGGGCCCAAGGCTTTACTGCCAGACCTTCGGCAGACATCTAGACAAACATTAGTTTCTAGGCAGCTTTCCTTAATACACACACACACGCACGCACGCACGCACGCACGCACGCACGCACGCACCGGCTCCTCCGGCACCTCCTGTGAGCCAGGCATCTGCTAAAGACTCTTAATAACTTACTGTCTTTTTACGGGACTCCAGGCTTCCTGATAATGGCATGGTTATGTTTGAATTTTGATGTAGCCAGGAGGTTGCCTGTGCCCCTAAGATGGCTACAATTTCAAGGCCAGTCAGGTCCACATAGTGTGAGCTCAGCACCAGCCTGGATTATGTAGTGAAACTTTGTCTCAAAACAAATAAATAAATTAAATTGATGTAGATATTTGAGTAATTTTTAACATGTTTCAAATTTAGTTTTGTTTTTTTGAGACAGGGCCTCTCTACATAGACCTGATTGTCCTAGAACTCACTTATATAGACCAGGCTGGCCCTGAACTCACAGAGATCCACCTGTCTCTTGCTTCCCAAGTGTAGGGACTAAATACATGGGCTACCATGCCTGGCAGCATGTTTCAGATTAAATCTCTTCATTTAAAAATGCTGGTTATTGATTTCGGGTAGGGGTTTGTTTTGTTTATTTTGAGACAAGGTTTTCCATGCATGTAGCTCTGGATGACCTATGTAGCCCAGGTTGTCCTAAAACTCAAAACAGTCTTCCCGCCCTAGCTTTCTGAGTGCTGGGATTATAGACCCGAGCCATCATGCCTGGTTGTTGAAAGTATTTTAAGAAATTTTGTATAAAAGAAATTCCTCTGGGGGCTGGAGAGACTGCTCTGCCATTCCAAGCACTTGCTGTTCTTCAGAGAACTGAGATTTGAATTCAGCCTTTGATACCTGTAACCCCAGCTCCAGTGCCTTCATTTATGCACATAGCCACATGCAGACACACACTAACATAGAATTCTGATTGTTAAAATATAATTCTTAAAAAATATATAGCTACCACCTGGAACTTAAACTTGAATAAGTTCAGATTTGTTTGAGTTTCTTTTGGTGAAGTAGAATATTCCTTCAAGTCTGTTCTTGTTTGCTTGGGTTTGTTTATGTTGATTTTTTTGTTTGTTTGTTTTCATTGTTCTTATCTATCTCTCCTTTTCATGTTCTTTTTTTGGAACTATAGCTAGGAAAAGCTATTGGTCAGCTTGTCCCATCTACCTTGGACCCTTCAAAGAAGCTAGTGAAAGGCCAAGGTGGCCTTTACCTCATGGGCCTTTGGCAGACACTTAGCTAGACCTTAGCCAGCCTGCCCTAACGCTGCTCCCCACTGCTCCTTCTCATCTTCCCCTAGCTGCTCTCTTTTGGAGCAGAGGCCATCTGTGAGGCTTATCCTGGAGGTCTTGAAGACAGAGAGAGCCCTTCCTGGTGTTGCTCAAACCATTCCACCAGGCAGAAGCCTGCACTGCCACATCAAAGCCTGGTCCAGGTTTGAGGACCATTTAAGTGGCTCAGCAATAGCTTCTGAGTATTTGTCCTAACTGGTTGTCCCTACTCACACAGGCACTGCTAGGAGACAGCAGCAGCCAGAACTGGAATACTGGAGTGACGGATCGATATGGGCGCCTTGATCGAGAGCTGCAGCTAGCCAACTCCCATTTCATTGAGGAGCAGCAGGCACAGCAGCAGGTACCTGAGAACAACCAGTCAAGGACAGGAGGTAGCAGGCAGGGTGCCTCCCCTGACTCTTTGCTAGCCACAGGCTTATTACCTAATGACGAGTAGTAGGTTAGACCTGAGTGAGTCCTATGCTTGGTTGTCCAGCCGTAATGATTGTATGCACTGTTTAAAGTCTTGAGAGCATGGGACCCCAAAGAACTAGACTTGATCAGATCTCAGGAAATGCAGAGCTGACATCAAAACTGACAAGGCCAAGGGTTTGTGCAGGTTTTGTTTTAGTTGCTGTTTTGAGATGGGTTCTCACTGTATAGCTTCGATGGCAGGCTGGCCTCCATCACGGAGATTTGCTTGCTTCTGCCTTCCAGGTGCAGAGTTTAAAAATGTATGCTACTCCCAAATAAGGCCAAAGATTAAAAAAAAAACAATTCCTCTTCCCCTTTGTACATTCAGGTTTTTGTTTATTTTAATAAAGATACTTTCAGGAACATTGAGGTTTTGTTTTTTCCATCGAAAGTTGTTAATTGGAGATATATATATATATATGAAATCAGTTGCTTTGATGGAAGTTAGGTATAAAAAGAAAATGAACTTGTCTCCATGTTGTTACATCTATTATTTGTGTATTTATTTTTATTGTTTTATTGAGGCAGAATCATGCTGTGTAGTCCAGGCTGGCCTTGAACTCATGGTTGTTCTGCCTCAGCTTCATGTGTGTTGAGCTCTTAGGCCTGGATCACCATGCCAGTTTGTGTTCTTGCTTTTATAGATAGCAATTCTAGTAAAAGGAAGCTAACAATTACATTATGTATCAGGATATGAGAATCACCTGTCCATTGAAATTTTGGTTCATAAATACCATTTTCATGTATATATGTAGACATTATGTTATTTTGTTCTATTTGCATTATCATGTTAGGCAACCGAGTTGTTTGCTCTCAAAATGTTACAATGAAGCAACATTTTTAATAGAGAGTAAGTCGAGCAGGCACAATTGAAAGTCTGTCTTTGTCAGCCAGCAGTTGTCATTGAGGTAAATTATTGTCCTTGAAGAAGAGGAGACGGACACTGTGCAATCCTCCCACATCCAGAGATTTGCTAGGCTCTCTTTCAGTGTTGCTGTGGCAATGTGTTGTGGACTGAAACCTTGATCTTGGCAGTGGGCTTCCTCTTCCTAACCAACCCGTGATGTGGTGGTCATATGCCTGTGTGCTTTTGGCCATTATCTGTTCCCTTATTGGACCTCAGCCAAGCAGAGTAAATCTATCTCTCTTGGTGGTTTCAAGCCCTGCTGACTGTTCACAAGTTGGATCAGCAGGCGATATGGGTAGCTTGACAATCCAGTCTTTGGAGCAGTGTGTTCTCAGAGGCAATGGTCTGGTTCTTTGATTCTGGGCTTTGCTTTTGAAAGTGAATTGTCCCAAGCTGGCAAAGAAACTAGCAGCTGCTGGAGTGCTGGGCTTGGAACCAGGTAAGATGGATTTTAATTGCTTATTTCCGTTTCCCTGGCACCAGTTGATTGTGGAACAGCAGGATGAGCAGTTGGAGCTGGTCTCTGGCAGCATTGGGGTGCTGAAGAACATGTCCCAGCGCATCGGAGGGGAGCTGGAGGAACAGGCAGTGTGAGTAGTGAGATGCCCTTATCTGCAGTGAGGATGAGGGGGGAAAGCCATCCCATGAGACCCTGAAATCCTAACCATGAATTTACATGGCTGGTAAAGAGAAAAAGCAACGTAATTTACAGTTACAGTTTTTACTTTGTTGCCCAAATTATCTCCCCTAAAGAAGCAAATCTACCAGATAAAAGTCACAATGGTAGTTTAGGCAAAGCTGTTACTTTAAAAACCATTTAAAAGCCAGACAAATTTCTTTCAGCAGATTCTTGTTTGTTTGTTTGTTTGTTTGAGACAGTTTCTCTGTGTAGTTCTGGCTGTCCTGGAACTCACTCTGTAGACCAGGCTGGCCTTGAACTCACAAGAGCTTCCTGCCTCTGTCTCCTGAGTGCTGGGATTAAAGGGGTGTGCTACCACCACCTGGCTCTCTTAGTAGATTCTTTAGGCGTACAGACAGAGCTGTAGACTCTGGAGACAGTGCTCCAAAGGGGAAAATAGGCATGAAGAAGCCATGTGAAGGTGGCATAGGACTCTCAGCTGTCATCGCAGGACACCCTACTACATTAAACATAAATTATAATCTTTTTTTAATTAAAAATGTATTTTTCATTTTACATACCAACTCCAGTTCCCTCTCCCTTCCCTTCTCCTGCTCCCCATTATAATCTTATAAAAAACATTTAAATTTGATTTTAACTAGGGAAAACAATCTTCCCCTCAAAACAAAGAAAAAAGCTAAACAAAACATAACTCTTAAAAATTGTTTTTGCTTAAGAACCTTGTCTTTTACACTCTAAAAGTATGATAAACAAAGATAGCTTTCTTGAACACTGCCATATATCATTCTACTTTTTCCCCCCGGGTGGGTGGGGTATCTACTAAGAGGTCTCAGAAAGTACCCACTGCTAATGTTCACTGTTACACATGCTCACTATCAGTTCCTCCTGGGCCCTTGTTCTGCACCAGGCTGTCTGGAAAGCTCAGGGGTACAGGAGTGAGCAGAATAGACTCTGCCTGCCATTCAGAACGTTTGCCATTCCCAGGTACAGCACATATAGTACAAATGAAGGAAGTAGTCCCATGGTGGCAGTGGGGACAGAGCCACTATCACTATGATAGGCTAGTTGGCTGACTGGAGAGCCCCATCTTTTCCAAGAAAGAGGATCAGCTGGAAGCTGTGGAATGTTTGGAAGGAAGGTGGTTGCGTGAGAGCCGGTGCCTGCAGAGATGTCAGCAGGTGTGCCGAGGAAGGTTCAGAGGTGCAGGTGTGCACAGAACAAGGTATTGAGTGTCTAGCATGGGGAGAGAGGAGCTGAGGACCTGATGGAGAGTCAGAGGACAGCAGGAAGGGCCTTGTCAGTGTGATGAGAAAGCAGGACTTTGACTTTTCAGTGTGGTGGGAGGGCAGGAAGGTGGAGTTTGGAGTGATGGCACGAGCAGGGACTGGGATGTTATAGCAGAGTGGAGCCAGGGTGGTGTGCCAGATGGGAATCTAGAGTAACAGGAACCCAAATGCACAGGTTAGTTTCTAATTAAAACGGAAGGGTCTCGAGCCACTTTGTTGGTGAGGCAGCTTGAGAATGAAGACAACCTGAGAGATACAGCTAGTTAAAGATACTGAAGTGACGACAGTCTGTAGCTCCATTCCCTTCAAAGTCACCACAGCAGTAACAGAAATGTTTTTTGTTTGTTTTTTGTTTTTGGTTTTTTTTTTTTTTTTTTTTTTTTTTTTTTTGCAATGATATAAAACCTCTGGAGAACATATAACAGGATACATCAGTTATACCAAGTTAGATGATGGACAGCAGGCAGGCAGCAGGTTGTGGATTCAATAGGCCAAAGGAAGCTGACCCCTGAGCCAGTGGGGAGTGAGCAAGAAGCGGTGTGCGTCCCACCACAAACCCCTCAGCTGTGACTAGCCTGCACTTAGGTGACTTCATGTTAATGGTGAATATTGATCTAATCCAATTGTGGCACAAGTGTATCAAAGAGAGAAGTGAGAAGGAGTCAGGGTTGGAATGGCGAGGACGAGGGCTGAATCCTACTCTAACAGTGCCATACCCTCAAGTGAAGGCTGCGGACAAAAGCCAGCATTGTAAGACACAAGCATGCTACTTCACAAGGGGAGAAAGCACCAGAAGCAGCTGAAGTGATGAGAACAGAAAGAACTGTTCTTTAGCATAAAATAGTTTAGCATAAAATCCCTGTGGGCCTGTTTCCTATTTAAAGTGGGTGTTCGTGTATCTGGTAAAAAGAGAGAAGAGATATGGGCCTTGAGCTGATAGATACATGCGCCATGCAGGAGACTAGCCACCCACTTCGTGTAGCTACTGAGCATGTGGAATGTGGCCAGACTGAGCCAAGATGTGCTGCGAGTGGAAAGTGAATGCTACAGTTTGAACATTGTTAAAAATGAATTTCAGAGGCTGAGGATGTAGCCGGGTTTGTGTAGTGCTTGACTAGTGTGCACTAAACCCTGCAGTCAGCGCCCAGCAGTTTATTGGCCAGGTGTGGTGATTCACACATTTGCAGAGTAGAAGCAGGAGATCAGAAGTTCAGGATCACCCTTGTCAGTTTGAGACCAGCCTGGACTGCGTGAGAGATCTTGGCTCAGTGTAAACCCCTTTAAAAGCACAGCTGCCAGAAAATGCAAAGTGCCATTTGTGACCTGCATGGTCTTTCTGTTGGGCAGAACCTTGGCTGTGGCTGTCCTTGCCTGAAGATTGAGTGGCATGCCTGTTTCAGCTTTAGCAAGAAAAGTTACGCCCAACATACACAAGTAGCCCTTGTTTTTCAGTGCTTGGCCTGGAGATGCCTGCCAGCCATTGGACCAAAGTACTGCCAGTTTCTGAGATGAGCTAAACATGTTTTAATTTGAAAACTCAGGTATAGAACAAAGATTTATTTACTTAGTTGTTAATGTGGAGTTTGATAGTTAACTTAATGAGGTCTTGGTGGCTCCAGATCCTGAGGGACTGTCATGTGTCCTTTGTGGGCTTACACCCAGACCAATGGTTTATAGCTGCCAGTGACACTGTCAAAGTAAATAAGGTCTTTGTAGGAAGGCCTTGGTACTAATTGGTGTGTTAATTTTAGCCTCAAACTAATCATGTTCTAGTCAGAAGTTGAAGTCTGGAATGTGCTGTAATTTATGAAATAAGGGTTCCTAGAATACAAGTACAGTGTTCAGTGCTGTGTTTTCCAGCAGCATGCTGGATAACAAATAGTGGAGGCCTCCCCAACTGGTTCAAGGTTTATCCTTGGAGAACTCTCTGTCTCCCTCCCTCTTCCTCTCTCTCTCCCTCCCTCCCTCCCTCCATCCCTCACTGTCTCTATCTGTCTCTGTCTGTCTCTGTCTCTGTCTCTGTCTCTGTCTCTCTCTCTCTCTCTCTCTCTCTCTCTCTCACACACACACACACACACACACACACACACACACACACACACACACACCATCCACACCCTACCCCATACACCATCAGAGATGTCAGTCCTCTGGCTCTTAACTTACAATAAGGCAGACTGTTTTAAAGGAGAATCTGACTGATTTGAAGTCCATTCCTTCACTCACATTGACATAAAGTACTTCTGTATGTCATGAAGTTTCCACAGGCACCCTCTCAACAGGAATTGGGTTGGTAGAGTCACCTCTTTAACAGGTGACAAAAGAGTTGTATAGGGTGCCTTGTTCACAGTAGCAAGAGACAAAGGCTGGCTCTCTGATGGTATTGTGCCTGAGCTGGTAGTGCCATATAGGCGGAGCCATACCACCTTGTCTGCGAATCTGAAATCTGCAAATCCAAGTGTTTAATTTGCAGCAGACTCATGTGATGGAAAAACCTCAGCTGAACTGACTGAAGCTGTGATTCCTCATGGGTTCTGCAGAAACACAAGCGTGTGTGTGTGTGTGTGTGTGTGTGTGTGTGTGTGTGTGTGTGTGTGTGTGATTATGGGAACTCCGCCAGACCTTGCTAAGGGGGTGTTAATTAATCTATAGCACATGTAACTTACCCTAAAAACAAAAACAAACAAAAAACCCCTTAGATTTCCCAAATTTATAAAAATGCAAGTTGTCCCAAGGACTTGGGGGAATAGAATGCAATCCTGAGTACCAGAGTCTCCTTTTTATCTTTGCTGAGATGGAGGCCCAGACCCACTGTAATCCACAACAGATAGAAGGCTCTGCTTACCACGTACTTTTCTTCCTCTCAGCATGCTGGATGATTTCTCTCATGAGTTGGAGAGCACTCAGTCTCGACTGGACAATGTGATGAAGAAACTTGCAAAAGTGTCTCACATGACCAGTGGTATGTATGTGTAACTCTTGGGAACTCCTACTTAGCCCTGCCTGTGACATTCCCTTGCCTGTGTTACTTCAGGATCAGAAAATGGAATGCTAGTGTGTAGAGAACATAACTTCTGTTCATGATCTTGTGCCCAGCACTTCTTGAATAACCTCCTGGTGCAGAAATTTCCTTGAAATTATAAAATCCTTTTTTTTTTATTTACTTTTTTCTATTTCTCTTGCCACATTAGAGAACTTAAAATTTTTTCTTTTGGTGTTTTTTCTTTTAGCGTATGTATGTGGATGCATTTTTGCCACAGCACATGTGTGCGTCAGGCATGGCAGCAGGCACTTCTGCCCACCAAGCCATCTCACCAGCCCTGGGGAATTTACTTAAAGCCATACCTGATGTACCGGTTGCTCCTTCCTTTGAACTATCTTTCTTTCAACATTAGAAAAACACTACTACTTCAACTATACTAGCCTAAAGTGATGTCCTAGCAAATGTGTGCCAGGATGGGGTAGAGAAGGAAGTTTTCAGGTCAGTCTCTGTGTTTGAAGATATTTTCTAATGATACTTTTTTTTTTTTAATTACTACAAATTGCCTCCCTTCTCAGACAGGAAATGACACATTTTAAGTCAATACCCAGTATCTCCTCTTTATCAGGAGGGGGTTGCTTGGTGCAAGGAAGAACTATGATATTTCTTGAGGTAATTTGAGTACTTTTGTGGCCATAAGATGCCTCTCTCACTGAAAGACCCTTCCCCCTTCCCTGAGATCACATTCCTCTGTTGGTTTTCTGCTGTCAGGTACACATGACATGGAAGATTAAAACAGAATTGCAGTTTACATCCCAGCTGTAGAGTGTCTGGGGCTTCATTTTTTAACTAAAAAATCAAGGGTTGCTTGTAGGTATGCTCAATGGTAGAGTACTTGACCAAGCATGGGTGAGGCCCCATGTTCTATGCTAAGCACCACAGAAGGGTGAGCACTGGATGAAAAACAACGCAAAGGTGTTTAACAGTGTACTCAAACTCTGTAAATACCTTAAACTACTGCAAGGTAGAAAAGACCTAAAGGATAAGGAAGCAGCAAATCCAAACGTCTTTATGCTTCAAGCAGTCACCAGCTCAGTGTATCTTCCCCATGATTAGAAAAGGCTTTGACATTTATTTTCTGGTTCCCTATGTTCTCTCCTCTACCTGTGTAGTACTCTAATTTATGTATCTGTTTTTAAACTGTATGTTTGTGTGTGAGGTATGCATGCGTTTTTGCAGGTGTATGTGTGTGTGGAGACCAGACATCATTTTAATTTCACTATTCATTTATTTATTTATTGTGTGTATGTGTACATGTGTAGGTCAGAAGACAGTTTGAGGAAGTCGGCTCCTCCCACCATGTGGGCTCTGAGCTCTAACTTAGGCTGTCGAGCTTGGCATCTTTCTCCACTCAGCTCTCTTGCCAGCCTCTCAGCCTGGCTTTTTTGAGACTGAGTCTCTCCTTAACCTGAACCTCAACATTTCAGCTGGATGGCTGACCAGTGTGAGCCCCTGATTTCTGTCTCTGCCCCCTTGCCCTCCCCCACCCTGGCACTGGAGTTATAGGCCCACACCACTGCACTGGGGTTTTACATGGATGTGGGGATCCAAACTTAGGCTCTCATGCTTAACCTAGCAGACACTATACCCACAGAGTCATTGCCTCAGCACCTTTGTATTTAAAAAAAAAAATGTTGTCTTAAGGAAGTATTACATAGCAAATTTAAACAGCAGGCCTCTCCCTGGTGTGTGTTAGCTGTACCAGTAAGTAGCTACTTCAGCACCACTTCTGTAAGGGAGGTAGGTGACCTGTGTCTTTTGTTTTCTAGCATTCTGGGTGTGAGTAGTTTAGGAAAGTCCTGGCAGTGTGTTTGCAACACTGAGGCTTTCTTATGCTTTATTCTGCTTCTTTCGGAAAGAAAAGTTTGGGGAACAACATGAGATACTTGGTTATATTTGTATACGGAAAAGAGCCAGGTAACAGCAGCTAGCATTCTTCATTTTCATTTTTGCTTGCTACCAAAGATATCTGCTTCAGTTTGTTGCCCAGGCAGTTCGTAATTGTCTTTTTTCTCTCCCAGAACTTTTGGTTAGTTAAGTGCATTGCTTTGTTATCAAACCTTGTGTAAAGACAGTCTGAAAACACCAGAGTTTGATTGAGCAGGCCTGAGCACACGTCAGCAGCTCCTGAGAGCCAGGCCCTTCTTGTGAGAAATGGGCCAAGACTCCACACTCACTTTTGTAAATGACCCAAGAGAGACACTAATTTGCTTTCTCTTACCCAGAGAAAAATACTCTTTTGAATAAAGCCAAGTTCCCCTTTATCACAGTTCAACAGTCTGTAATTCATCTCTTCTCTCGAAGACAGGAAGATATTTTGAGAAGGAAACTACCACTGGAGTTCCTTTTTGTCCCACTTAACAGAAGTATGCTCTGTGCTGTAGGTGTAGCTCAGCGATGGTGCACAGGCTTAGCTCTGAGTTACATGCCTGGTACTGCAGTTGGGACCCATTCCCGGTGTGCTGGAAGCCATACAGGAAGAGCTCAGATGTCAGCTAGGGTAGTATCTCCCTCGGGTTACCTAGTTCATGCCTAGTAGAAGCAACCTACCACTTCAAAGGAAAGTGGCCTTAAAAGTGCAGGCCTGGGCTGTGTTAGCTCCTGTGGTGGTCCGCTTGATTAGTGCCCCTGGGCTCTATCAGGTTGCTCAAGAGAAAGCCACTGGGGGAATACAGAAATCTGAACTGTCAGAAGCAAGAAATCTGGCCTTTAGAATGGTGGGATGCTGGAGGGGGAGGGACAGGAAGTATGTGGGAGGTTGTGGAAGAGAAAGGAGGAAGCAGTTACCTTCTCTGGCTTTACCCTGGGGAAGTATCAGTTGTTTTTAATAAAAGTGACTTATTGTTTCATTTTTTATATTAATAAGTTTACTTCCTTTCTCTTCCTCCTCCTTCTTCTTGTTTGTTTCTGAGGCAGGGTATGATTGTGCAACCCTGGTTTGCTTGGAACTTGCTCTATTGATCAGGTGGCCTCCAGCTCACAGAGATCCACCTGCCTCTGCCTACCAGTGCTGGGATCAAAGGTGTGCACCACCACACCAGGCCATTGTATGGGTTTTGACAAAAACATACATATCTATCATCATCCTGTCATACAGGAGAGCCTTGCTTCTCTGAAAATTCTTGGTTAATTTAATTTTTGGAATTAACACATAATATTTGTAGATATTTATGAACTACAGAGTGATGTTTTGCTCTGTGTGTACATTCGGTAGTGATCAAGTGAGGAGAATGGCGGGCATATCCAGCACCTTACCATGTTTCCATTTCTCCCACATCCCCCGAAAGGCTGGTCCAGCTTCTGGAAGTAAAGCTTGCCCATGTTGGGTCTCCCTTTAACTGGTGGTATCTTAGACTTGTCCACATGGGCTCCTCAGCAGCTGGTCGGGCCCATGGTTCCCATCTCCACACGGGTTCTAGTGGTGGTTACTGCTGGGGTTAGGTGGGGGAAGGGCTCTGTTCCCACTGTTTGCCTGTAGGGTTCCTACTGTTAGGGTCAGCAGGCTTCCCTGTGGCTTTACTTCTCTGAAAAACCTAAGAAGAAGGGCTGTTTTTGTCACTGTGTTTACCCTTTTTTTATTAGGACAGAGTGATAAGGAACAATCCTCCACGGTGGACTGGAAACTATAGTTCAGTATCTTTAAAGAGCTAAGAGAATGCTAGATAATGCTTTCCCCACACTGGCATTTGCTCCCTGTCATGGACCTACTCTACCTTCTCGAACCCTTCAGAGCAGTCTGCTTCAAAAAACAAGGAGTGGATAGACTTTGGATCTGAATTACTCAATGATTTTTCTGGTGTGTCTGGGGTAGACAAGGTGTTGGTCCAGTACAAAGGGGTTCGCTGTGCTGTTGGGATTCACATCTTGTGGCCACTGAAGAGCTCTAAGATATTGCTATCTGTGGCATTATTTAATACATGTTTTGCTCTGTGGAGAGTTTTGCTATCTATTTTTCCTAAATTCAGACTACCCTACAATATGATTATCTGCAGGCTCTCCAGCAGACTTTAACAACCTCTACACCTTTATACTTCTGTTTCAATGGAGTTGTTACTCCTGCTGTTCAACTACATTTCATAGACAGTGACATTGTATATGTGCATATGGAGGCTAGAGGTTGACTTTAAGTGTCTTCCTCTATCATTTTCCTTTATTGTTTTTAGTTTTTGAGGCCTAAAACTTGTAAGTTTTGCTCTAATGGCTGGCCAGCAAAGGTCCAAGGAACCAGCTGTCTCTGCTCCCCACCAGCCCTGGGCTCCAGGCCATGCTGCCATGCCTTATTCTCCCCTGCATTCAGGTAAAAATACAAGGGAATTTATTAGGGAAAAGCCTTACTTACAGAGTGACCTACCCAGCCGGCAGGGCAGCAGTAAGTACAGCAAGCCGAAGATGAAACAGACGAAGGGGCCTTCCACGTGTGCCCCTCACTCTTAAACCTTCCCTATGTCACCCTGACCACGCCCTCGAAGGCGTGGTTACAGTTTCCCCTATATAGGCTGGCAGCTAACTTGTGGGAATCCTCCTGTGGCATCCTTCCTAGTGCTGACTTAACAGGCATACCCAGCATGCCTAGCTCCTTGGTAACATTCTTTTGTAGCTTCCTGGTCCTTGGTGGAGGACACTGGGACTTGCCACTCACATGGCCATGTGTCCTAATGATGATGGTGTCTCAGCATCTTGAGCTTGGGCCCTGCCCAGCCTGTGATTCAGTTGTTACTTAACCCTCACAGGGGCCCTGTGGGGCAGCTGTTATATAGACCACCAGGATTGTGGGCTGCGGCAGGCATTCCCGGGCCTATCTGTCCTTCTGTCTTGGAGAGGGCTTCCCTGCTCTCATCTACACAGAGGACATCTAGCTTCTCTGTTTCCTGTGCCAGTTGTTCACAACTGTTGGTAGGGCTGAAGGTTTCAGAAGACATTGGCCTCCACTCACAAATACACAAATGTGTAAGTCATTTGCACACACTTACTGGTCAAGTCATCTCACCTGACTAAGTGTGGCGTGAAGTTAATCATTCCTGCCGTGGGCGTTCGCTTACTCACTGTCCATTCCTCAAGTGACCAGCAGGGCTTTCATCTCCTTTCCACTCTCCCAGTCCTCCTAAGAGCAGAGCCTGGGCACTGCTGAAGTACAGTTCTTTGGTGGGAGATTGAGCAGGTGGACTTTGACCTGCCGCACTAGTGCCAGCAGCCTTTTCACTGTCGCACAGACCACCAGCAGCAAGCTAAGATCCATGGTCTTCACTAGGGGCTTGCACTCACAGCCTGTACTTAATGGCTGAGCTGTAGATGTGCTTGAAGTGTTGCCCCAGGCAGTATAGCATGGGGGTCTGGTGCCCAGGCAGGGGCAGGATCTGCTCTGCCCCTCCTAGCTTCAGTCTGAGTACCCGTGTCTCAGGGAGGGAGGGAGTGCCTAACCCGGGGAGGTCATCTCTGTGTCCTGCCTTCCAGATCGGCGCCAGTGGTGTGCCATAGCCATCCTCTTCGCAGTCCTGTTGGTCGTGCTGATCCTCTTCCTGGTGCTGTGATGTCGGCCCTCCTCAGGCCCTTCTGCACATGGACTCGGGAGAGGAGAAGCAAGCACTCGGCCACTTACATTCCTCTCCCAGAAACACGCCTCTGCCCTGCTTCCTCCGTGTGACTCCGCCACTGAGACAGCCCTCTCTCCCAGCGCTGGAAGGGCAAGGTCGGAAGAGGAAAGAGGTCACCACACTTCCAGCTGGAGAGCAGAAGCTCCAGCTGCCCATTCTTTCTGGGACAGCTAGTCACTGCTTTGCCTTACTGGACCTCACTCCTTGAGGAAGACTCAGAGTCATCAGAAGAAAGAAGAGCCCTACTTACTCTGTTGCTCATTCTGATGGCCTCTGGCAGCCCCTTCCCTCTGCTCAGATCCTTTCCCTGCTTAGATGGGCGCTGTTGTCCCTTCAAAAGAAACCTGGCAGGAATGGGACATTTGGAGAGGACGTTTCCCACTGCGTTGTATTTCTTAGCCCCCCAGGAGCTGGCTGTTGAGGATGACAGAAGGCTCAGAAACACTTCATGACAAAAATGCAGTGTTTCATTTTGCTGGGTAAGAGCTGAGATTAAATTGCTTTTCCAGGTGTGTTTGTGGCAGGGCTAAGCAACAGGAAACAGTGAAATCCCTGGGGGCTTGGGAGTGCTGAGGACAAATGGCTTTAATGGACTGGAGTGGTTGAGAGCAACAGCACCTGTGTTGGTCCAGCTTAATGAAGGGCTGGTGATGTCTCCAGAAGCCAGACCTGCTGACTGACTGACTGTCCCAGGGAGTTCTCCCTCAGAGGTGCAACTGCATTCTTAGAGTGCCCCTCCACACAACATTGAACAGCATAGCAGCCTTCAGTTGGGTGGAACACACCTCCTCTGGTGCCTTTATTCCCATGGCACTCCGAGTGAGGTGGAGGGTCAGACATTTATTACATTTATGCAGAAGCTGTCCTGACACAAACAGGCTGGTTCTGGATCGGATGTCCCTTACTCTGTGAGTAATAGCTCGGGTGGTATGAGAACTTGATTCTTGGTTCTCTGAGGAGATGACACTTGACTCCATCATGCATTTGAATATCTGAGCCGTCCAGATCTACTGACAGATGGTCTGTTGGGCTGAAGTAGCTGAGAGCTGCTGACACTAAATTCAGGCTTTGGGTGACTTTTAGATGCTTCGATGTGCTCATATCCAGAGGATTTTTTATAATGTCCCTGATGCATAACCTGCTATTAAAGTAGCTGTCAGGCCCAGAGCCGGCTCTTCACAAAGGAGGCTGCTGCTGCTCGGCTCTGTTGTTTTCTATGCTGGGAAGAGAAGCAGCTGGACAGAGTTTGACCTTTGACCTCTCTTGCTTTGCCTTTCTGTGCATTCCTTAGCATGCCAACTTAAAAAAAAAAAATCCTGGGTTGTTCATATTTCTTGGGATTTTGATTTAGGATCCCTTATTTGTTTTGTTTCTCAATGATGTGCTTGCCCAGCTAACTTTTAAATTGCACTTTTAAATAAATATTTGTAACAGTTTTTAAAAGAAGGATATTTTATCTCATTTAGGATCACGATAAGTAAGGAAATCTACCTGTTGGTAAAAGCTAAAAGAAGATTTGTAAAACCAAAAGGGTCGTCGTCGTCGGCACCACGTTTACATTCAGCTCTGGTGTTTAATATAGAGATGTTATTTCTTTTCAGATTAGAGAAAAATGTGAATATTACAAAGGGCTTCAATGTAGGGTCTGTGTTATTTATGTTTCACGGAATTTTAAGGTTTTGAATAGTCTTCTGTGAACTTAGGCCATGGATAGTCCTTAGATTTGCATTAAAATATAGAAGCCTTTTGTTAAAAGTCAATGTGGGCCTTGTCTGAGTACTGTAACCCACACTCCACATTACACAGCCGTGAGCGGTCAAAGAATTAAAATTACCCTAGTTAAAGCCATGTTCTTCTGCTGTTAGAAGAGTGTCAGTCTGACCCCTTCAGAAATGCCCACTACTTTAGTAAGATCAGTTTAGGGAGGAAATTTGTGACCCTGGGCTTAATTGTGTTGCATCTGTTTTTGAACTGGTATTTTGACCTCACTGATTTACTTGTTGAACAGTGTTGTAGACCTGAAACAGGCTGGAGCTGTGTGTGGAGTGTGTTGAGAGAAAGTCAACTTCATTTGCAGGTGTTCCCTCCCTAGGCCACATCTTCCTCAGCACCTGGCTTAGCCCAGGCTCAGTAGCTGGCTTAGTCCAGGCTCAGCAGCTGGCTTAGCCCAGACCCCACCTTTTGTGCCTGGGCAGCCACTGCAGAGCCAATGCTCCTTTGCTATTGTGGCAAAGAGAACAAGGACATGACTTTCTTCCTTAGTGACCCAGAGAACTGAAGGGTTTCTTCCACCATGTGTCCTAGAACAGGAAAGGGGCAGCAGGGTGCCCCCCCACACACACACACTGCTCAACGGTGTCTCTTGCAGATCCCTGCCCCCTCCAGCCTTCTGCACTTGGTCTCCCATCCGTATGTTTAAAGAACTGGCAGAACATGCTGGATAACAGAAAGCTCAGCGTGTTTACTGAAGAACACTTTACTTAACTGCTTGGGGGTGAGATGGAGGATGATCCATTGAGAGCATTTGGCAGAGTGCAGATCCAACTGGAAAACCAAATTGCCTTTAGACTTCAGCCACATTTTGGGTCTTGTCTTTGTTTGGGCTGGGAAATCCCAATGCCATGCATGCTCTGGACAGTGAGGCAAAGGGAATTGTCGTGTATGCCTGAGCTCTCGCCTTGTATTTTCTTCAGTTTCAAAATTCAAGCTAGAGCTGAAGCAGGGAAATTTGGTAACTTGCCCATTATTCTCTGCTTTTAGCCAGAGTTAAACAGACTGATGGGTCTGCTAGCCAACAACTTGGCAACTCCCATGCCTTCTCACCTCGTGCAAGTAAGGGCTGTGAAGAGAAATCCAGTCCGACTCCAGCAGGAGTCTGTCTCTGTTAGTGTTGTACCTTCTGTAAGGAAAGGTGCTGCAGCCAAGGCTTTCCTGTTGGTAATTTCTCTGCCCACAAAGTGAGACCAGAGGGGCATTCACAGTATCTGCACAGCCCAACCTCAAGGGAGGAAGGAGTTCACCTCTGTGGACGAGGTTCAGTTCGGCTTCACCTTATGCCACATAATGAATTTGTTAACAAAGCAGAAAAGAAGGATCTGGAAAGCAAGTTTCCCCTCTGCCTTTCTCTCACTGCATAGCCTTCCCACCCAAATGTGTAGGAATGACGGGTGTTTGTTTATTTTTAAAAAGTGTCCATCAAAAGTAGAGAGAAGGCAAAATCAGAATCCCCAAATGTATCAGCTCTGCATCACTGTGCCCGCCTCCCACAGTCAGTTCCTAAAGGGAAGACTCCCCAGCAAGAGGCCTTACTAGGCCTCTGGAGACTCAGCCACAGGATCCTCCCTGGACTTTTGATTCCCAGAGGGCCTGGTAAGACAGCAGGTGGTCCATCTGAAATGTCCAGCTGCCTGTACTCAACTCCCAACCTTGAGAAACCATGCTAACCCTGAAAATGGTCTCACTCTTGAGAGTGCAGCAATGGGGACTGGTGAGATGGGAAAGGCACCTGCTGCCAAGCCAGGCGACCTGGCTTTGATCCCCAGCTCCCACAGGTGTCCTCTGACCTCTACATTCATGCTGTATTGTGGGTGCGTGCACATGCACGGATAAATAAGTATATAAACGCACATTTTTTAAAAGAAAAAAAAAAAGGATGACATTGGTCTGTTGTATATAAACATGGATGCCACTGTCACCCATTTTACTAAAGCTTACCGGGCACTTTGCTGTCTGGTTTTAAATCCAGAAAAGTGTGAGTTTGGAGTTTGCTCCTGGGACCTGAGCAGCAGGGCTGTGACCCAGGCCAGGAATGAAGCTGTGAAAGAGCTGCCTCTCATCACTGTCAGTGACTCAGTGAGACCAGAGGCAGAGCGCCACCAGGAGGTGAATAGCCACTGCGAGCAGTGCGTAGTCATTGGGAGCCATATGCTTTTAGGACAAGTCAAGACACTTGAAGCTAGCCTTGGTATTCAACTCCTCACCATGGTGTGCTTGCCTTGGGACAAACAGTGGAGCTCTGAGAGTTGCATGGTGCCTGTTGGGGGGTGGGAGGGCTGCTGACTGGCTGCATTTGCAGGTTCTCCATATGTTACAGCCTGTCAAGTCAGCTGTCAGGGCAGGGTGAGAAAGGAAGAAAAAAGCTCATGTGTGTGTGTGTGTGTGTGTGTGTGTGTGTGTGTGTGTGTGTGTGCGCACACACACTCTCATCCCTGCTGCCAGCTAACATGTTGGTGCTATTTTTCTTCTGACCTTAATCCAGAAATACTCTTCCCCTGGCTGTGCGTACTAGCTGCTCAGGCAGCGCCTGCCCCACTGCTGGGGTTTCACATGAACATTTCATGGACCTGGTTTGCCAGCTGCAGCCAGAGCTTTATGAGAAAGTGTATTTTACAGTTTGCTTTCTTATGGTTATGAATTACCTACCGGAAGGCCACTTGGTCCCCGGGGCTGTTAGAAATAAGACCACCCAGCTTCACTGTTTGCTGACCAGATATCTGGGCCCTTCCCCCTTGCCTTGATGGAAGCCCAACCCCCTGTTCCATCTGAGCTTTCATGAGCCCTGGGGTGGGACCAAGATCAGGCTTTTCATTCCACCTCAGAGGAATGTAGATTCAGCTGGAATCAATTTGTGAACAGCAAGTGCGACCCTGAAGCCGAGGTCTGTCCTGGGAGAGGCAGGTGTCTTTATTCCCAGGGAAAGCAGGGTACCTGTACCCTGGTTGTCTGGGGTGAGAGCAGCCAGCTGCCCACTGATGAGGTTTGGAAGTCCATTTTTATTTTGTTGTGCTCTTTTTGGGTTTTGCTGTTGGCATGGCTCAGGATTGAACCCAGGACCTTGCACATGTAGCTCACTGAGTACCACCGTGTCACACCCCAGCTTTGGCAGTGTTTTCAGCTCCCACTGACTTTTTTCTTAATTGGCCCAGGCTGCGGTTAGCCCACAACATGCTAGCAGATATGAGGGCCATCTAGGAAAAGGTCAAAGGAACCATGCTGTAGATGAGGTAGATTTGAGTTTTTTGGAAGTAGCTTCCCTGGCTCATTTTAATTAGAGATTGGTACAATTGGTATAATGTAAGTGACAAAATAGTAGGGAATAAACCCTCATATATTTTTCCAAGGATGAATAGCTTTACTGGGTTTTACTTTTAAATAATAGGATACACACAGTGCCATGGGATCAGGGTCAGAACTTTACCTGGTGACTTCCAGGTCATGCTTGGCCACAGCATGGTCGGAGTGAGCCGATCCCTGGGACAAGAGTTGTGTCACCTCTGCCACAGGTAGATTTATATGGTGGCTCTCCCAGGTTAAGAAGCTTGTTACAGCCAGGTGGTGGTGGCACACATCTTTAATTCCAGCACTTGGGAGGCAGAGGCAGGTGGATCTCTGTGAGTCCAAGGCCATCCTGGTCTACAGAGTGAGTTCCAGGACAGGCAGAGCTATATAGTGAGGCCCTGTCTTGAAAAACAAAGAAGCAGCTCATTAAAGATGCATTTTCTGTGGAATCATTAAGTCTGGAGATGAGGCCAGCTGCTCCCCCTCCCCAACCCCAGGTTCCAGTGCATGCCATTCAGGACCACTGATGCTGCATTGTGGACCTCCATCTACAGGGAAACAAACATTCCTCAGTGTCATCCCTGCTTTGATAATCCTTTGGTAATCCTAAAATTTGATGACATCACACACTTGAAAACATCTAAAGCATACTTGTGTAAGATAATAGCCATCCATAACAGTGATGTTCTTATTCCTTAAAGTCTATTGCTCACATTTCCTACTGCTGCTCTTGAAGTTGTGCTGCAGCCATGTAAAAGAATTCTGTTCTGTATTAAAGCGACATGAAGAGACAAGAGCTTTGTCCTGGATTTCTTTCTTTCTACTTTTTTTTCTTTAATTGGAGGCTTGAGCTTAGGTTACCACCCATGCTAGGCAAGCGTTCTATCACATCCTGGCCCCCTTTGTTCTTGTTTTTAGTCTTTTCACACTTAGATACAGGCTATTACTTCTTCCCCTCTGCACTAGTTAATGGAACATATGGAGGCTGGGGAGGCAGCTCAGTGGAGAGGAGCACTCCCTGTGTAGGCACGAGAACCCAGTTCAGTTCTTCAGTCCTCACATAAGAGGGAGGTGTGGCTGCTCGTGTCTGTAGCTTCAGCATCAGGTCTGGGAGGAGACAAGAGGATCACTGGGGCTTACTAGCCTACCTATCTGAAAAACCAGCAAGTTCTAAACCCAGTGAGAGACTCTGTCGAGAGGAGAGCAAGGAGAGGACACCTGACGACCTTCTCTGCCCTCTGTACACGAACACATGGGTGCCTTCACACACACACACACACATACACACATACACACACACACACACACACACACACACACACACACTTAAAAATTACTACCATATAAAGGAAGCTATTTGCAGTTGATACATGCTGGGTATCAGGGAAAAATCATTTTTCTTCTGTGCAGTGTCAATGTGTGTATCATTTACACTCCCAGGCAACCTTCATGCCCAGGAGTAGTTGGCCAACACAAAATGAACTCCATATTGTTTTATGTGATTACTTTTTAAAGAAGATTTTGTATTTATTTATTGTGTATACAGTGTTCTGCCTGCATGTATGCCTGCAGGCCAGAAGAGGGTACCAGATGTCTTTATAGATGGTTGTGAGCCACCACGTGGTTGCTGGGAATTGAACTCAGGACCTCTGGAAGAGCAGCCAGTGCTCTTAACCTCTGAGCCATCTCTCCAGCCCATTTTGTATGATTCTTGTTTTGTTTTTTTCTTGATGTTTTATTTTTATTTTTATTTATTTATTTTTGTTTTTCGAGACAGGGTTTCTCTGTGTAGCTTCAGAGTCTATCCTGGCACTCGCTCTGGATCTGCCTGCCTCTGCCTCCCGAGTGCTGGGATTAAAGGTGTGCGCCACCAGCGCCCGGTTTGCTGTTTTATTTTTTCCTTCCTGTTTTAGTCTTTTGAGTGAGAGAGAAGGAACATGAAGTTGGTAGGGAGGAAGTGGGGAAGATCTGGGAGAAATTGGGGGAGAGGAAGTATATGATCAAAATATATGAAAAAATTTAAGTAAACAATTTGAAAACGCTGACATAGACATCTGCCTGCGACAGAGAAAGCTGACTGCTGCTGGATGAGAAGTATGAATTGTGGGAGCTAAAGATGTAGTGAAGATGGTAGAGAGCTTGCCTAGCATGCACAAAGCCTAAGGCTTAATCACTGGCCCCACATAAACCAGATTGGGTACCTGCCTATAATCCCAGCATATAGCAAGGTGGAGCAGGAGGGCCGGAATTTCAATCCTCCTGCCTCAGCTTCCTAAGTAGCTTGAATTACAGGCCTCCGCCTGCAGACTGCATCGAAGCTACTAAGAAATGCACCAGCATGGAACTGGAGAGAGCTCAGCAGTGAGAGCACTTGCTCTTGCAGAGATCTGGGTTCTCTTCCTAGCAACTGCCTGTAATCCCATTTTCAGGTGATCCGACCTCTTGGCACCAGGCATGCACAGGTGTGCATACATACATGCAGGCATTCACATATATACATAAAATAGTCTTTTTATTTCTTGACATGGTTTCTCTGGTAAGACAGCCTTGGTAGTCCTGGCTGTCTTACTCACTTTGTAGACCAGGCTGGCCTCGAACTCACAGAGCTCCACCTGCCTCTGCCTTCCTTCTGAATATTAGGATTAAAGGCATGCACCACCATCTCCTGGCACACAAATCTTAAAAAAGAAATTAACCACAGTCTAGTGTCAAAGGCCTATAATTACCAGTTATTGCAAAGGCTGAGGCAGGAGGATTTAAAGATCAAGACCAGCCTGAGCCACTTCAGTGAGACCTTACCCCCCCCCAAAAAAAAAGAAAAACAAAAACGAAAGAAGTATGAAATGGCGTAGTGATAAAGGTGCTTGCCATCAAGTCTGATAATACAAATCCAATCCGGTGAGCCCTCGTAGTGGAAGGAGAAGGTGACTTCCAAGTTGCCATCTGACCTTCACATGGGTGCCATGGTGCGTGTACCCACATACATCGAGGAAAGTGGTGCTGGTGACGGCCCTTAATCCCAGCACTCAGGAGGCGGATCTCTGTGAGTTCGAGTTCGAGGTCAGTCTGATCTACAGAGCTAGTTCCAGGATAGCCAAGGCTGTTACACAGTGAAACCCTGTCTCAAAAAAGAGGCTGATAGATGCCTGGCTATTGTGTGTGAAACCAAGTTCAACCTCCAGTACTGAGACAAATCCACTCAAGGGTACAGCTGGAGCTGAGCCTGCCTGGACCACAGGCTTTTGCTTTAGGGAAAAGCTGCCAGTCTGAGCTCAGTGATGGCAAACAGGTGCTCACTAAGCTGTCTCTTACCTGACACCAATATGGATGCCGGCCACCTTGGTGTTTGAAGTAAGGTCTCCGGCTGGGTCTTCATCAGCCAGCAAACTTCAGGGTTCCTGCCACCTCTGCCTTCCCAGTCCTGGGATTGCAAGCATCCAGTCACCATTGCTGGCTTTTTAAAAGTTGTGGGTACTGGAACTCAGGGCCTCAAACTACAAGACACTCTACTGACCTCCCAGCTCCTAAAACACCAAATTCCTCAGTGCCTAAGGTAAAGTGTGGATGTCAGTTGCCTTGGTCTCGACCGTGTCTCAGAGCCTTTAAAGTCTACTGTTAAATCAGGAAATCTGATCTAGGCTGAGGATCAGATTGAGGTGAGTTCAAGGCCAGCCCGGGATACTCAAAATAATAATTCGGGTCCAGGAGCTCAAGCACTCAGCCTCAGTGGTTGTGCTGGCTAGTCTATGTCAACTTGACACACAAACTGGAGTTATCTAATAGAAGGAAAATTTAATTGAGAAAATGCCTCCATAACATCCAGCTGTAGGGCATTTTCTTAATTAGTGATTGACTGAGAAGGGGCCAGCCCATTGTGGGTGGTGCCATCTCTGAGCTAGTGGTCCTGGGTTCTATAAGAAAGCAGGCTGAGCAAGCCATGGTGAACAAGTCAGTAAGCAGCACCCATCCATAGCCTCTGCATCAGTTCCTGCCTCCAGGATCCTGCCCTGTTTGAGTTCCTGCCCTTACTTCCTTCATATGGAAGTATAAACCAAAAACACCCTTTCCTCCCTGGCTTGGCTTTTGGACATAGTGTGTTCAATGCAGCAATAGAAACCCTAAGACACTGGTATTTGGATCTTGTTTATAAGAAAACTGAACCCAACTGCTTATAATAACTCAAGAAAACCAGAGCTCCTACTACATCCTCATTTCTTTCTCCCAATTTAGCTCCAGAGCTGGGTTGAGACTGGTGAACTTGGGAATCACAGGGCCAAGGCTAGCCCTCCCCAAAAGCCTTTGTGGCCCCCAGGAGAAAATGGGCCCCCTGCCTTGGGGTCTCTTACAGCCCATGGCATGCTGATTTGCCTTATCTCACAGCTGTAGCTGACTCACTCCATTGTGGAGGTGTTAGCATCCCAAAGGGCAGAGCAGGCCTTGCCTCAGTGCCTGGCACCTAGCCAGAGCCCTAAGGGCAGCCCCATACTGTCATAGAGGCCTGAGCCCAGATTGCAGAAGGACAAGACAAAGGCAGGACTGGCAGGTGGCTGGGCATCCACAGAACAGCCCCGATACCCTCCAGGACTGGCAGGGCAGCTGTTGAGCCCTGGCTCCAGGGGCACAGTCTTTGAGCCAGTCCCAGCAGTCCCCTTCCTCTGGCCCAGCACAGCGACCTGGCCAAACCCACAGCCTTTGCAAGCTGGGCAGAGCTTGCCAAGGAAGGCTGCTGCCATTTCTGAGCAGGTGCTCTGGCTCACAAAAAAGAGATGTCACAGAGCTTGGTGGGAAGGGACTCGGGGAAGGTAGGGCTTTTGAATAGCTTCAGAACGAGCCTGAGGTTAGAAGAAATGGCTCCAGCAGGTGCACCAGGGCAGAGCAGTTGCCAGGTAAGTCTGAAGGATAATTTACCTGAAGAAATCCACAATCCAAAGTCCCTGGTTGCATGATTGTGTGAGAGTTAAAGGAGGGAACCAATGCTGGCATTCAGTGTTATGGTTTGCTCCCCAGGATGGAGACTTCTCTAGTCCTTGGAAAGGTTGTCAGGCAGTGGGTAGGTGGGAGAGTGGTCCGGCAAAGGCCACAGATAAACAGAACGAGAGGATAAATGAATGTGTAGAGCTGGAACACCATGAAAGGGTGGCCAGCAACCAGAGCTGTTGTCCCGAATACCCACAGTGGTTAGCCCCCTTCCCGGAGCCACTGCAAAGGGCCTGGAAGTCCAGCTACATCTGCGTATCTGCTTCTAGGTGTCTGGCTTCTTGGTGACTTGGGTTTAGAACCAAAGATGTCCTTCTCTAAAGACTGTTCCTGAGTTTTATCAGTTCCACCAACTCAACCCAAGGTGGTAGAGAACTTGTCATTGCCCTGTGGGAGGTACTCTCTGTTTCCCAGCCCTTCTCCCAACATATCCCCCTTTTAATATTTACTAAGGTCAGAAACTGCCAGGGCTGGGCATTGGTGGTGCAAGCCTTTGATCCCAGCACTTGGAGGCAGAGGGAGGTGGATCTCTGTGAGTTCCAGGCCAGCCTGGTCTGGAGAGTGAGTTCCAGGTCAGGCTCCAAAGCTACACAGAAAAAACAAACAAACAAAAAAAAAACCAAAAAAAAACCAAAAACAAAAAAGAAAGGAAGGAAAGAAAAGAAAAGACACACTGCCAGGGAATACCATCTCTCCTGCAAGTGGTGGAAGGTTGTACCTCATTTTCCCAAAGGACCTCAAAGCTGAAAGTGAAGAACAGCACCCCTCCCCTATAAAGGTCAGCAGATCAGGCTGGCACCACTGCCTGCCCCTGTACCCTCAGCTAACTTTAAACCTTAAGCCATGCCTCCTGTGGCTCCCCATCTTACTTGAGATCTGGGAACATTGCACACATGTACCTAATGCTCATCCCTGCGCACACACTCTTGGGCCCAGGGTGTGTGGCCCAGCATTTGCTTTGTGTCAGCTTCAGCCAGTGCCCCCACCCCAGCTAGCCTGGTGCTTCCTACAGTACCTTTCCTCAAGCCCCCCCCCTCACCCCCCACTGCATTGGAGAGCAGACTGCAGTCTTCATCCAGGTCAGTGCACACAAGGTTGTGGTGTTCTCAGTCTGGCAGGAGCAGGCCCTCTGGGAACCTCCCTCAATGGCCAGTGGCCTTGAAGGTGCAGCTGACAACCGGCCTGTGGCCTGCCCAGACCCTCGGGGACACCTGCCTTTGATGGACTCGCACCTCACTCTACTGTTTTGTCTTAGGTTGTGTGTGAGAGTTGCAGCAAAGCTGCTTCTGGCTGGCTGGCTGGCAGGGTGACAGTTACCTACTAGCCTCAAGGCCTACAGTACACTTTCTACTCTGCAAGTTGAATCCGGTACCCACAGTACCTAGCAGCTGGAATCCCTCTCTCATTTCCTGCCAGCTCCTGTGCAACCTTGGAGGCACACCTTACGGGTCACCCAGTGTCCTTTTCCTGGAAGCAGACACAGGCTTGATTCATAATAATGCCTTCTGAGGTCCTCTCCAACCTCTGTCCATCCCTGCCCTGCAACCCCCTTCAGGAGACAGGCATGTCTGAGGCCAAACTTGGCACTTGTTCCGTGATCCCCAACATTAGCTGCCATCTGTGAGCTTAAGGGACACAGGTTATTCAGGGGAAACCCACACCTTTGCACGGGGTGTGTATCTTTCATGGCCGAGTCTCCTTGCTCTCACCAAACCTAGCTTGGGGGCACTGCTTCCCTTCCCATCACCAGTCCTCTCTGGCCCTGCACCCGCCAGGCTGTGTCAGGCTCTCAGCTGCGCTGTCCTGGTGGTGTGCCCTTGTAGTGTGCTCATGGAGTATTCCTCATTTTCCCCGGCCCTCCAGCCTGCATCAGACCTGGCTTATGGTAATTAAGTTCTAGAAGGTTCTGATGGCTCGGTATTTGGAGAAGGGCTGGACCAGGCCTTCTAGGTCCGAAGCTCTCTAGGTAAAGCAGATAGTGGAGATCAGACAAGATGCTGGAGACAGCGTCCCCTCCCACCATGTACACAGGTCAAGGACCTCAGCATTGCTGTACCCCAGGCAAGAGCAGAGGCCATAGTAGGTGCCTCAGATTCCAGGTCAGAAGCTGGAGAGTCTCTATGGCCCTGCACGTCCTCGCGCACACCCTCGTTCTGTCCTTTCCTAGCACTGGGGGAGGAACATTAGGGGAAGGCTAGAGAGTGACAGGTAGTTGTCACACCAGGCAGACAGGGCTGGTGTGCCTGACACCTGCGCTGGCACTGAACTGCGTTTCCCACCTTGGAAAGGCCAGGAAGCAGGATGTTCCTGGTAGGACCTTTTAAAGACTAAATAGGGTTCACAGGGGCCTGGCCAGCACCTGCCACGACTGCGCGCACACACACACACACACACACACACACACACACCCTGCAGCTTTTTCCTCTCCCAGCCCCAGGCCCTTAACTGCCCTTCTCCAAAAGACAAGTGACCTCGCCATACAGAAAACAGGTGACATTCACTACCGATGCTTTTTCCAAGGTGAAGTTTCTCCAGCTGCAGCTCCAGGCCAGGAAACAGCCTCTGTGCTCTCCTGCTAGGGGGTGCTGTTTCTTCAGGGACGGGATGGGGACAGGGTTGTTTCTGGGGTACTCCAGTACCCTCCTTACACCATGAAGTTTCGTGCACTTGTTATACTGTCTCCAGCCGGGGGTGGCCCTAGACAACCTGTCTTTGTTCTATACAATTGGGGTTCTGAAACACTCCCACTTCCCCCCTCCCCCTCTCTCCTCAGCTTCTGGGGCAGGAGCAGCAGGTCTTTAACTGAGACCTTAACTTTAACTGAGTTCTTCTGAGAAGGTCCCATCTCCTCGCCTCACAGGCTGAGGACCCCACTGTCACCTGGCCACAGGCCCATGCCTCCTTCGGTGTCTTCCTTGTCCCATGAGAGTTGCCTGTGACACTAATGCCACCCGATCTGGATGAAAGCTGTTTTGGCTTTTATTTCAGTATTTTTTTTTCATTTTTATTTCATGAGTATTTGTGGTTTGTTTGCATGTATGTCTAAGTGACGGTGTTGAATCCTCTGAAACTAGGGTTACAGGCAGTTAAGAGCCACCATGTGGGTGCTGGGAATTAGCACTAGGTCCTCTGGAAGAGCAGCCAGTGCTCTTAACTGCTGAGCCATCTCTCCAGCCCCTGTTTTGGTTTTTTAACCATAGCTAGCACCATGACAAGTTTCAAACTAGTAGTGAGCTGCCCACTCTACCCCTCCAAGCACCTAGACAACATTCTTAGCTGTTCTCACCCATGCTCAGCCTTGCCAGGGCTGCTCTCCTGACTCAAGGACTACAGACCTTCTTCATCTACCCTGGCTGTGACCCTACCCCTGCAGCCCCCCCAGCCCCCGCCCGCAACGTCCTCTGGCCATACTTGTACCCTTCTGCCCCTGCCCAGTCCCAAGCCTCTTAAGGGCTCACAAAGGTCAAGAGAACACAGAATCCAACAACTCCAATGGAGGCAGCTTTGCTTTGGCTTTGTATTTTAAGAATTTAAGATTGACACCTGTCCATGCATCTATAGAGTCCTGAGCCCTTGGGCAGGCTCTAAGCTGAGCAGGCTGTGCCTAGGTGGGACGGCCACCCCCAGCACACAGCCTCCCTGCCTGCTGCCCACCCACGGCTGCCACCAGGGAGGTCTGGACAGGAATTCTGCAGCTGGGTGACAGCCAGACACCAGCTGCAGCCCTGTCTCCAAGCTGGACAAGAGAACAAAGACCAAGGCCGGCCCAGGCCAGGCTGCAACAACCACGGGCCGTCTAGGCAGGGGCGGAGGCAAAGGGCTGGCTGGGCTGGCCTCCACTCCTACACCCTTAGTACCACAGCCACACTTACTGAAAATGGCAATAGTCTCTCTCTCTCTCTCTCTCTCTCTCTCTCTCTCTCTCTCTCTCTCGCTCTCTTGATCATAAAAATTTCCTAGAAATTCTTAACATTCTGGCTCCCAGAAGCTCTCTGATGTTGACATCCCCAGAAGGGGCTCAGCACTCCTGACAGGCCATACCTCCCAGTGCTTGGCTTGGAATGTGCCCTCTTGGCTGTCGGGCTGTACCAAGACACTGAACCGCTACTGGATCAGAAGCAAAGGTGTAGTCACGTGGAAACCAGGCAAGCCACAGCTGAAAGAGACAGGCACAAGGCCAATGCAGCCACTTTGTCTCTGGTGTGCTGGGGACTGGAGAGGTTTTCAGTGAGTGTGACCAGGCAGTGAGGCCAGCTCTCAGGGACCAACTCAAGGATCTAGTCAGTCCCTGTCCTCTGCTCCCAACAAACGGACACGTCCTGTTGCTACTGCTTCTGTCATGGAAGAAGACCATTATTTCCTTTCCCCAGATCTGCATAAATTAGTGACCTTAACCAAAACAAACAGGCTCTTCGCCTCTCCCTGCAGGTGGCCAATCAAAACAGCTCTGCCACAGCCCGTACAACTAGATGCCACCCTGGTCTGTGAACTGCATTTTCCATCCACAAATTATCTGAGTGGTGTATTCCAGCCCCTTCTGCTGTGTGGGGGTCGGGGCTTCTAAGGGAGTGTCAGTGAGAGTACCAGTGCATCTGGGTCACCGGGGAACAGGTCTCTGTCTCAAGACACGAACCGACAAGCTCTCCACATGCGCCAGGAGCTCCTTGATGTGAGCCAAACCCAGCCCTGAAACCTTGGCGCCGTTCAGCTCCAGGATCTCATCCCCCACCCCAAGCAGCCCCGAGTACAGCTTGGCAGTATCCAGGTCAGCCATGGCCTGCACGTAGAGCCCTGCAAAGGAGAAGAGGAGCGGGGATGAGGAATCATCCAGGACACCGTGACTCACACCCCTCACAAACTGGCTTCAGAGAAGCATGTCATGTGTTCCTCCTCCCCACCTCCCGATGCATTCTCTGTAGCCGCTTTTAGAACAGGAAACTCCATGTAAATGATGCTTGGAGACATTATTCATCTACAGTTTAATAAGAATAAACTAGCCTACCCTTTTCTGATAGCAGCTTTTAGCAGAGAGAGGAAGTCATTTTAAAAAGGAAGACCAATGCCTGCTCTATGTCCTACCTATGTTGCTCAGGACTCAAATAGATATAGTCGACGGCTCAAAGGACCCAGGCTCAGCCCAAAGGCCAGGGTGGGGGACAGAGAAGTGGCTGAGGCCAAATCTGCTTCACAGTACTCCAGGACTTATCCTGGCCTCAGCCTCACTCATACTGTCCCTCACTTGGGATTTGGGAGCATCGAGGCCAAAGTCCAGGAAAAATAAACATTCTGCCCACATTTATGGCTTGCTTGTCCCTTTTTCTTGTACCTTTCCATCTCTGCCACCCCAAGAGGCTCAGCCTAGCCAGCATGATCATTCCTTGGGTTGTGAAATGTACAGATCAAGCCTCTGTCAGGGGACTTGTGGCTGGCTCTCAGGAAACCCATGTTGTCGGAGAGGCTATGGATGCTTGGGCTGACTCCAGCCACTGCTGCCACAGCACAGAGGTGTCCAGCTGAGAGCCTGATACCTCTCAAGTTCTCTGCCAGACAGGGTACATGGGTAGGTTCCCCTGGAGAAAGCTGGAGCCTACTACCATGTTCTGCTGTGTGAGCATAGCCAGCCTGCTGGAGGACAGTGGGGGACAGCCTTAGTGGGTGACTTTCCTGCATCTGACAATAGTGGGATTTGGCGACAGCAGGGCACAGTCTTGACCTTCCCCAGCTGAGAAACACAGCAAGTACCCACATGATAGGTTCTCCATGGCCTTTAGTCAAGGGCTCAGCACAGACTGGGCAAGATGTCTGTTCTGGTGCTTCCATCTCTATCTTGAAGCATCATAGACTGTGCAAAGTGGTACCTTGGCCCATGGACCAGGAGGAGCCCCTTCATTACAGCCTCTGGGCCCCAGAGAACCCAGGCTCTGAATATGGACTCTACAACTCCTTCACCAAGGCACCTAAAAGTTTGCAGCCATTTGGCCAGTCTGAGCTGCATACACATGTCCTCTCTGTCTGGGGCGTGGATAACCCTTTCTGTGCTTCTTGGCCAAGATAAGTCTTTCCAGTCTCGAAATGATCAAGAATGCACCATCCTTTAGCAGAAGGCTTTTCCACTGGGGCCCTGCCCTATCTTTGCTCTCCTTTCTCTGATGCTTGTATAGCTTACCTGCTGGGTGTACACACTGTCAGCATGGAGTGAGGAAGCCACCCCCACCTCCCCACATGAACCCACAGAAGTGTTTGGTGTGCTGGAGGAGAGGCAGGTGGGGAGGGATGACAAAACCCAAAAGAATGTAGCCAAGCCAGACCAGACACTGACGTCACTCCAGCCCTTTTGGGGAGATTTGGGTAGGCTTCCCAGCTGAAATCGTGACTGCAAGGCAGCTCTGGCATTTATGGTCTGCTGGAGACAGCCTTTGTTGAGGATGCTAGATGCCTGTGGTGTAGCCAGTTAGAAGCAGAAGGCAGGGCCTGCTGTTTTCGTGGGTGTGGTGTCAGATGGGACACATGCTGGCACCCTGACTGATGCTTAGCAAGGAGCCAGAGAAGCCCCGGGCCATGGCTCCTCTGAGGTTCAGGGGAAGTGTCCCTAAGCAGTTAGAGGAAGGCCTGTGGTGGAAACAGCCTCAGCCATCACACTGTCTAGTGTGAGATCCCTGGGTGACATCTGGTGGCTAAATACAGCCACAAGAGCTAAGGGACACGGAGACAGCCTGGATGACACTGTTTCCCCAAATGTCAGTTGTTCCCTGTGTGCACTGACATGTGACTCTTCCTAGGCCCAAACTGGTTCTCTCTCTCTCTCTCTCTCTCTCTCTCTCTCTCTCTCTCTCCCTAAGAAGTTCAGGTCACACTAACTGCAAACCAGCCAACCAGCCAGATTAAAGCCACCTGTTATTTTGTCTGCTCCTGGACTATGGAAATCAGTGTAGTGCCTGTCCTTGTCCCACTGTGTAATCTCAACATAGCTGGTATCACCCCTCGGCTCTAAACTCTCTCCCAGTAGATGGCTCCTGTCCTACTCAGTGTGAAACCCCAAGTCCCTCAGGACAGCACAGCCTGACCTCCTCATTTCCCTACAGACAAACATCATGGCCCTTTAGGATTTTTGTCCTTGAAACTCATCTCCCGACCCCAGGTGGCTCCTCCCTTCTTTGCCCCATCTCCACTCATGTCTTCGAGAGTGGGTCTGCATGGCACCTGCCATACCTGCTTTATTTACATTTGCTTCCTGGTGCTTTTCACTATGGCACATCTATAATACAAAATATCTGAAGTAAAGTTGTAGGGCTGGCCCAGCACCCTAGCTCGTGAGGTCAGAGGTCTGTGTGCTCTGTGGGTGCTGTAACCCCACAGTACATAGGAGTAGGCACCTGGAAGATGCTGAGTGATGAACAAGTCCGGGACGAGGACACATGCTGTACTGAAAAAAACCACAGCAGGAGGGCTTTCTCCGTTAAACAGCCTTGACCTTGGAGACTCAAGAGTGGGACCACCCCTCCTCTTCGGGGCCCAGGAGCACGGCCCAGGCTTGCCTTTCCAAAGTCACCCCTCCCTCTCTTCCTCTGCCTGCTCTCCCTCAGCATACCTCCCAATCTTTCCCACTCAGCATAGCCTGTGCATAGCTTTCAAGGTCTCTTGTACTCCAATGCATTCTGGACCATAAGCTTTGGCCTGGACAAGTCAGGTCGCCACAAAGGACCCATAGATGTAGAGGGACCAAGAACTGGTCAGAATTCAGTGACCGTGGGATTGAATTAGGACACAACAGGCAACCCGACCAGGCCCCTGGAGCCAGAATCCATCTGAACAAAGCCCTCAAGAGCTGGTGAGGGGGGTGTGGACAGGATTGCAGACAGGCAGGCCCACTCCACATGCCCAGACACACCAGCATCTGGAGGACGGGACTGTGGAAATACATCAACCACATCAAAGGAATAGCCGAGAACTGGCAAGCACAGACAGTTTTCCTTTGCCTCTCTGAAAAAGCCTTGAGGACTCTGATTTCAAGATGTCACAGGGCAGCAGGGGGGCAGTGCAGTCAAGTCTGCCGGTTCAACCCCTACAGCAGCAGGGGCTCCTGAGATCCAATGCCCAGTAAGAGCTTCTGGAGGGAAGAAGGAAGCTTTTCTCCATTGCTCAGCCAAAGCCCTGAAGGAACCTGACCACACCTCAGGGACTCTGCTGAGGATTCCAAGGGCATACCTGAGTCTCGACGGCCATTGCCGTAGGCCACACAGAAACCAAAAGTTCCCTCTGGGGGTCGTTGCAGCTGTAGCTGACTTGTGCCATCTGGGAACACCTCCACCACACGGCCCACAGTGCGAGCCAGGCCAGGAGCACTCACATCTTCCACACTGAGGGCACGATGGGGAAAGGCCTTGGCTGGCCTACAAGGAGACCAAGGACAGTAAGGGTGGGGCCAGGCACCAGGGCCAGCTCTTTGTTGGCCCTAAGGTGACCTGTTCCTCTGACGCAGGAACCTGACACTAGGGGTTGGGGTTTCTCTGACCTCAGCCAGCAAAATGAACTCCCTAGAGTGAAGACGGGAGTTTCCACATTTGCTGGCAGCTCCTCAGGACAAAGTGCCTTGAAACAAGGACTGTGGTTTCTAATGTTTTTTAGGAAGAGATCTCTGAGAGTTAGAGGGAACTATAATTTTATATAGTGTTTTCAAGAGTTAACCCCTTCCCTCCAGCCCAAAGTCCTTCCATGTAGCCCTGGGTAAAAGCAGATACGAAAGAGGACTTGGGCAGAGGGGTCAGGAACCAAGGGCCTCTGGGGGTTCTTGTCTCTGGGTGTTTAAAAGGATCTTCCGCTGTGATAAAGAAACTCTGAGCATTGATTATAGGATGTCATAGGACAGCCAAGGGAGAGAGACTTTGAGCTTTCCAGCACCACCCTCCTGCAAACCTACACCTCTCAGGGCTCACCTGCACAAGGCAAGGGCACAGAGGTCACTCTGTCTCTCATCACTCTGCCTCACTTCCTCTTAATGGAAGAAGACTGGCTCATGGCTGTGGTGCCAAGGGAAGAATGGACTGTCTAGCTCCACTGGCCACTCTGAGTTTGTCCTTCAGGTTTTTGTACCACACTTACCTGCTCGGTGTGCTGGGGTCCCCTGACCCCTCTACCAAGTAGAGGCTGGACCGGTCTCCCTTGCCACCTAGAAGAGCATGGAGGTTCTGAAAGGAAGTTGCTTTCCGATGCTGATGAGAGGGTGACACCTAGTGGGAAAGATCCAATATTGCAGGTGAGAAAAGCAGGGTGGGAAGGGGTCCCCAACAGAGGATTTGCAGACCTGAAGTAAACCTGAAGTCATTCTAAGAAAGCAACGGTACAAGCTTTGGTCAGCACATCTGGATGCCTAGCAAGAGTCACCAGAGCCTGCTCCGAGAGATGGGACTGCACAGGCATCCAAAGCAATAACTTAGCATTATGTTAGCTCTTACCTCACTATGAAAGTCTACCCAACACTCAGAGGCTATGGCAGGAGGACCAAGTCACATAGACCAAAGGAGAGGGGCTGGGGGTGTGGCTCACTGGTAGCATGCCTGATGTGACACACCTCAAGAATTCTTTCAGCTTGGAGTGAAGATAAGTATTGTTACCCAAGAGCTCCAGGAGCTTGTGACAAGTTCCTTGAGCAGAGATGTTTTGGTCCAGAAGGTATGGGGACAGAGGAGGAGCTGACACGTGTGTGAGGCTGAGAGCAATCGCTCTCCAGTTGAAAGGAGGGGCACAGGCACCCAGGCCTCCCAAAAAAGACAGTATGAGAGAAGGCATAGGGACATGGGAGAGGACATGGGGACATGGGAGAGGACATGGGGACATGGGAGAGGACATGGAAACATGAGAGAGGACATGGGGACATGAGAGAGGACATGGGGACATGAGAGAGGACACGGGGACATGAGAGAAGACATGGAAACATGAGAGAGGACATGGGGACATGAGAGAGGACACGGGGACATGAGAGAGAGGGCATGGGGACATGAGAGAGGACATGGGGACATCGGAGAGGACATGGAGACATGGGAGAGGACATGGGGACATGAGAGAGGGCACGGGGACATGAGAGAGGACATGGGGACATGGGAGAGGGCATGGGAGCACAGTGCATGCTAGTGTGTTTGGTGAGGGCCAGATGCTCAGGCATTTGTGCTTTTGGGAGAGACTTGTTCTTTCAGCTTCTTGAATTTTTTTTTTTTCAGTTCTTGAGAGTCCCTGTATCATCGTCCCTGAATGTCCCATCCTTTCTTAGCCAGGCTGCTCTCTACCTTCAGCCACTCATCTAACCCTGCAGCAAGACCTCTGAGACACAAGTGGCACTGTTATTTCCCTCAAGGGGTTTCTGGAGACAGAAACACCAGTGGCAATAAATGCAAGCCCCACAGCTCAGAGCTCAACACCAGAGAAGTTTAACCTGAGACAGTGCCCAGGGTGCAGTGTCTCCACGCTGTCTTCCTTCACACGCCCCCTCTGCTTCTTCTCCCATCTCTACTCGTCCAGCCAGCAGACACTTATTACGTGTGGGCCTCTACTCTAGACACTGTCCTGAGTGAAGGACGTCCATGAACTGTCTGTCAGTCACCCTTCACTCTGTTCCCACCTCGGCCTTTGAAATGAAAGGCTCCAATGGCTCAGACCATGGCTCTCTACCTTATTCTGCATGGAGGAGGAGGCAGAGGACAGAATAAACAGAATACCCACAAGCTCCTAGTACCGAGCAGGGTTCCTGGGCAAGGCTCGTGTGCTGGAGTGATTTGCTAAGCACATGGGGAGGGAGATGTTTGCCGTGTGTTCACTCAGTGTGAACTGGACACACTACACTAACTAAGACAGGTATTGGGGGTGTAGACACTATACTTCAGTGAGGGGAGAGAGACATGGAGGAGTGAAGACCTGGGTGAGAGGGCAAACAGAGCAGAAGATCCCCTCCGCCAGAACACCGTGACATCTTCTAAAAGAGATCTGCCTGGAGTGTTGATAAAATAGCAGGTGTCAGCAGTGAGACACATTTGGGTGAAGATTCAGTCAGACTATGTGATCTGACTATAGAAGAGTGCGAGGGTCTATCCAGTGGAGGCCCAGAGTGTTCTGGAAGTGATGAGAAATAAAAGCAGATGGACCACAGATCCTCTCACAGCACTAAATGGTCTCAACTTCACCCTGAACGTGATAAATGACCAAAATGGATGCATTCCTGGCAAGGGACAGTTGGTTTGGCCAGGTTTGTGCATCCTCAGAAATACCTTTATGGAAGCCACATGAAGAAAGGCCAGACAGACAGGCCAGTCAAGGTTTGCTGTGACAATACAGATGGAAATTAATTGTTTGGGGGATGGATAGATGGCTTCAATGGTTAAGAGCACTGATTGCTCTTCCAGTGGACCCAGAATAAATCTCCAGCACCCACAAGGCAACTGTTTATAACCCCAGTCCTAGGGGATCCGATGCCCTCTTCTGGCTTTTGTGGGTACACATGGTGCACATACATACAGGTAAAACATACACAGAAAATAATCCTTTTTTTTTTTAAAGAAAGCAAGAAGAAATTGCATTTGTACTAAAAGAGTCCCTGTGGCCAAGGAGATGGATAAAGAAACCAGGCCATGAACTCTCCAGGAAGAGGGATAAAGAACACATAGGTGGTGGGTAGAACAGAATTAAGGGTTGATGGGGGATGTCCTTCTGTATGTTTATCTTATTGGTTGATAAATAAAGTACTGTTGGTCAATTGGGGAGCAAGATAGGTGGGACTAGGAGTCGAGGAGAATTCTGGGAAATGTAGGAAAGAGAAGTCTGGTGATCCAGGCAGGAAGTGACATAGCAGGCAGATTCAGAATTTAAGCAAGGACAAGCAGGAAGTCCTCTTTCTCTTGCTCTTCTTCTTCCTCCTGCTCTCTTCTCTTCGGAGCCGACATGTGATCCCAGGAAGAGGACGCCAGCGGAAGGCGTCCTTGATAAGTCTTATAAAATATATAGATTTATGATAATTAAGACTGAGCTAGCATAAAAGAAATCCTAGCCAATTGGCCAGCAGCATTGTAAACTAATATAAGACTCTGTGTGTTACTCTGGGCGTCCATGTGGCAGGGCGGAACTTGGGAGGCCAGTGGAAAGATTTATCATTACAAACGGTACTGCACACACAGTGAGCATAAGTCCTATGGTTCAGCTGTGAGGACACCAGCAGGTCTCCACTTTTGTGCCCTGGGCTCCAGGCAAGGACCCTTCATTCCAATAGACTGCAGTACTGGGCCACACCCTACTGTCCAGGGCCCTGGGGACTTACCAGATGCAGGATTTGTAATGATGGCGCTCTCTTGACTTTGGAGGTACTGGTATGGGGAGCCAGTGCTGAGGGCTGCAGCTGTTCCACACTGTAGCTTCGGGATGTGCCAAGTCTGGGCCGGGGGGTGTGGCTCAGGGCTGAGAGGAGTTTTTTGAGCCCCAGGGTGGAGGTGATACTACTCTTCCTTTTCGTGTTCCCATCAGAATGGGCAGCAGAAGGCAGCTTGTGCCCTGCACTGGCCTCAGGTGATACTCTGAAACACAAGGGGGCATAATGTGGCTGGAGATGGCTAAGAGGCAGGCAAGAGCTGGCTGCATCCTGCATCCTAGGGTCCCAGATGGACCAGTGCCGATGTCTCCAGGGAGGAACTATCAGGCTTAGCAAGGAGAGCCATGTAGACTCGGCCAGGTGCTGAGTAAAAGCAGCTGCTGGAGAGAACAGTCCAGGATAGCCCCTGCCATGGCACACAGCCATGAGTCCAGGATAGCCCCTGTCATAGCACAGAGCCATGAGTCCAGGATAGCCCCTGCCATGGCACATAGCATGAGTCCAGGATAGCCCCTGCCATAGCATACAGCTTTGAGTCCAGGATAGCCCCTGCCACAGAATACAGCTATGAGTCCAGGATAACTCTTGCCATAGCACACAGTCATGGGCTCATCATTCATTCACTCCACTCCTCATGGGCCTCCTATCTGTCTGCCCTCAGCTAAGGGTATATAGAACCTTATCAACAACAGACTAATACAGGAAGGAGAAAAACCATTCACAGTGTTGTGTAGGCTGAAGCAGAGTGTGACAGGCACTTGTTTTAAATAGTTCCCAGGGAAGATACCAAGGGTCAATGACAGGCAGGAGTCAGGCCATTAATCCTGGAAGTGAGAGCCACAGGCACACAGAGCAGCTGTGGCGTCTGCCAGAGCAGAAACAAGTCAGATGTGTTCAACAACAGCAGCCAGTTAGAGAGAAAGACAGGAAGAGGTGTGATATGAGGCCAGGCAGGCAGGCCCATCACACTGCTAAGCGCTGTCAACCCCAGGAAGAGAAGGAGAAGAGAAACTACTGTGGGCCTTTAAGTAGGACAATGATTCCATTTAATTGGGTTTTTTAAAAATATTCCCTCGTGCAGCTAAGAAGTGAGGCAGCTTAGAGCAGATGGTAGAAAGGGGCTGGGGCTGGAGAGGGCTGCCAGAGGGGGGAGGTGGGGAAAGCAAAGGAAGCACATGCAGGGTCTCGGCACCGCGTGGATAGCGCCATGGCTGCTAGGAACAGGGCATGGGGAAAGCAACTGCTGAGGTTTTCTTGAGAAACAGCTAGATGCCTGGGAGAGATGTCCAGGAGAAACTAGCCAGACAGACCTTGCATTCTGGCAAACACCCAGGCCCGCTGGGTCATAGGGAGGCTGTGTGCTGCTGTGTGGAAGTAAGTACCAGGTTCATCAAGGCTTTGAAGTGGGCCCAAGGAGGTCCCAAGCAAGGCCTCACATGTCTAACCCAGCTGAAGCAAAGGAGGGAAACAGTTTGCAACCTAGAATCACCCTAAGGCCTGTGGCTATCAGCTGGGTCTCAAGGGTGGGCAGGTAACTCAGTGGCTCTACGAGGTACATCAGATAAAAAGAACTGGGAAAGGTAGGGCTGGAAGTAGATAAAGTGCTTAGCACACAAACATGAGGACCCGAGTTCAGATCCCAGTACCCACTTAAAAGCCAGGCACATGGCAGAGCATGTTCATAACCCCAGTTCTGGGGAGGCAGAGACCAGTGGATCCCTGGGGTTCAATAAACAAGGAGCAGAGCAACTAAGTGTCATTCAGTGTCAACATCTGGCCTGTAAACAAATTCACATCCATGTGTTCTCAGACTCATGTGTACAACACACACACACACACACACACACACACAGAGAGAGAGAGAGAGAGGGGGGGTGTAAAAAGGATGGGGAAGGGTGAGTTAGGATGCCAGGATATGGTTTAGGAACCCCTCAAGGTTTGAGAGAAAAAGGTTAGCAATGTTACCACTCCAGTTGGTATTTCCCCATCCAACATGCTCACTGTAGTCAGGGTTTGTTTTTGCCGCTCACCCAGTGGGCATGTGGCCTCCAGAGCTGAGTTCTGTCCTGTGTAGACCTCTTCCTAGCTCCAGGCTGAAGTCGGGCTCCTCTGAGGTGAGGGAGAGGGTGACGGCTGTAGAGTTGACAGTGGCGACATCTGCTGACTGGAGAGAGTCCTGGGGTGTTCCTGTAACCGAACAGCACCCCACACTGCCACACTGACCATCACCAGGTCACAGTGGGGGAGGCCCATTCCCCAGTCTTAGGGACAGGAGACACTGGGGAGAGGTAGGAGCCACAGGAGCAGAGGCAGTGGAAGTCCCAGGAGGAACTCAGTGAAGATGGCCAGGGCCCATCCTTACCATCCTCCAAACTGGAAACTGTTTGAGGACAAGGGTGGGGTCTTATGGACTACTGCAAACCTATCACCCAGCAGAGCACCTGGTACACGGTGGGTGACTAATAAGTATTTGTTAAGTGGCAAGTCGTTTATTATATGCCATGCCCCTTCTATGTCAAGGGACACAGTCAAAAGCAGGGGAAACAAGTCTAAAATTGTTACAGCTTTTACAACAGCTTCCATCTTGGGAGCGCTGCATGCAATCGGTGATGTTGAGCCCTTCGCAGACTTGACCTTGTGGTCATGGCACAGGCTGTATTTTGACCCTTACTTCCTGGATAAGAAGTAAGGAGTTATGAGTATGAGTATGGAGAGAGAAAGTGATCCTTGGGGGCCCTGTCACAAACAAGATAATCCTCGCCATGCTTCCAAGGAGGTACAGACTCAGGCTTCCCAGAAAGGTCATTAGATCTCAGAAGCCCCGCAGGAAGTGGCTGGGTGCCCCGCTTTCAGGGCAGGGACCCTGCTTACGTCATCTTCTTATGCATTCCCCACAGTGTCCAGGACAGGCCCAAGTGTGTGCCAGGTGCTAACAGTGAATGGAAGCGTGCAAGGCACAAGAGAAAGATGGTAGAAGAGGAGGGTGATTATAGAATAGTTCGTTTCTAAGCAATAGTGGATTCCGGGGCTGCTGACTTCGTCATAGTTTACAGGAGTCAAATTCCCACAAAGCCTGGCCTCCAGCAGTTGAGGTCAGGAGCTTCCCTACACACCTCAGCCTTCCCAAAAATAAGAGGGTACCATTTCCACCTTGCCCACAGTCTAAGCCCTAGCCCTCTGCTCGCCAAGCACAGAAAACTGGCTCACTTGCTCCATGCTAATGCTGAATCCTAAATCTGGCTCACATGGCATCCCCCCCCCCTCCCTGACACCTGCTGCTGTGAGATCCACAGGGATGCCGGGAGTGGTGTGTGGTCTTATCATTCAGTCATCACGATGGAGAGCAGATGAGTGCCACAGACCAGGGCTGAACAAGGACAGCAATCCTTACCATCTCCATCACTCTCCAGGGGCAGTCCAGGCTCCTGGCAGCCGTGGTCCCTCTCAGCTCTACTCTTGTGGGCAGCTGCTTCCCAGGGCTCCTGTAGCCCCAGAGGGACACTGCTGTTGTAGTTGTTGGCAGACAGGCCCAGCAGGGGATGCTTGACACGGGGGCTGTAGGGCTGGGTCTGCGGTGGTGTGAGAACCGAAGTTCTTGGAGGGGACAGAGGCAGGGGGATATCCATATGCTCCACCAGATGTTCCTGCCTATGGTGTCCAGTCCAGGCTGACTTCTTTGGAGGCATTGGGCAGAGGGACTTCCTTGAAGAGGGAGGGGTTGGCACCCAGCCTTCACGGGAGAGGGGCAGGGCTGGGTGAGGTGCACAGGAGGGCTCTTCGTGGCTCTGTTGGAAGGAAGAAGTACATACACTTTCCGTAGACTCGTGGCTTCCAGTAACTTGGTCTGGTTGGCCCGACCCTGAGGATCCAAGCTTCTTGGAAAACGACACAGCATACGCTGTCCTGCATGGAGTCCAGGAGTCCTCAGGGTGGGCCCAGTGATTCCCTAACCGTGCTCCAGGCTGCCCCTGGGAACAAGGCCTCTTAGGTTCCAAGGCAGGTTTAGGTGCAGCATCTTCCTTTACCAACAAAGTTCCCTGGGGTATGTGTCCTGTGGCTCCTTTTACCTCCCCTCTTACAACCACATCACCAACCTCATGTAGGTGAGGCCAGGCCTGAAGGCCCCAGGGCAGCTTCACCTCAGCCTTTCTGGGCCACCTGGGGCCTTCCCGAGGCTTAGGGCCATGCTGCCACTGTCGGGGGCTGCCGCCTTGCGCCTGCCCACCTGCCCTGCTGGGCTGAGAGGTTCTGGCATCCTTACTGTCCGTCCAGCTGTCTGAACCATTGGTGCTGTCCAAGGCAGAGTTCCCTTCCTCAGGGGGTGTGACATCCGTGTCTGTGATATGTGTTTCCCGGATCCATTCTGTGTGGAGCCCTGAGAATGTCGAGTTCAAGCCATGGGGATTACAGGGCCCCAGCAGCAATGCCTCTGCCTCACAGGCTGCCTGGAGACTCTGGAGGACCCTGGGGTCAGGAGTTGCTCTCCCCTCAGCAGGACAACGCTCCTCAAGACAGCTGCCACAGGCTGGACACTTGCTCTCACTGTCCCATGTAGACGGTGATGCAGGGAAGTTACTGTGGTCCAGGGAGCCCACAGGCCTTTGGCATGAACTGTTCCCCATGTTACGATGAATGTAGTTGGTTAGGTCAGGCTTAGAGAGCAGAGGTCCCTGGCCCACAGCATGTGGCACTGTGCGTACCACCTGACGTTGGCGCTGCTGTAGCCGGTCCAGGTACCGAAACTCAGCCTCATGGGCAGACTCATCTTCAAAACGGACATGAGACAGGGGCATTCCCTGCTTGGGCCACTGCCCATCACCAGACTCCACACTGGAGGAGTCACTCTGGTCCCCATTCTGGAGGCTTTCTCTGGAGGCAGAGGCTCTCCTGACATCCAGAACTGGGCTTCTTTGGCCGTTTCTAGTGAGGAGACAGGAGAGAGGTCACAGGCAAGAAGGTGGTGAGGACGGGAAGCATTGCCCTGGATGTGCTCTGGCCCAGGCCTCACCCACAAGGTTACCCCCAGTCAGGCTCCTGGGATGCCATACGGTAAACCCCAGGCCCATCAGCACATCCTTTGGGTGTGCACATCCCAAGTACATCCTAGTACAGCCTGCTCAACAAAACAGAACTTCCTTTACTTTTAACTTGCTTTATGTCACTGGGCTCAGTATGAGTTAACAAGAAAAGCTACTATACTAGGGAAGGTACAAAGGAAGATGGCAGAACTTATATGTGCACTCCGTGTGTGTGCACATGTGTGTGCACATGTGTGTGTGCACTCCGTGTGTGTGCACATGTGTGTGCACTGTGTGTGTGTGTGTGTGTGTGTATGTGTACTCCATGTGTGTGCACATGTGTGTATGCACTCTGTGTGTACGCACGTGTGTGCACTTTGTGTGTGTGCACTCTTGTGTGTGTGCGAGTATGTATGTGCACTCCGTGTCTGTACACGTGTGTGTGTGCACTCACTGTATGTGCACATGTGTGTGTTTAGGTAGCCTGTCTTGGCAGCGATGAGTTGCAGAAACATGTACAGTCAGCCATGTGTGAGTGGACTCCACATCTAGGGAGTCAATCACATAGTAAAAATATCTGAAAATAAAATCCCATATCTATACTGAACATGTAGGAACCCCACTCTTCTTGTCATCTCCTAAACAGGACAATACAGCAACCATTGTAAAGTATTTCCATCATGTTAATGGTTGTGGGTAATTCAGGGATGTCTTAATGTGTACAGGGGGATGCTTGTCCATTCGTGGGCTCTGGCACCCAAGGGAGTGGGTCCTAGAACCGGCCCCCTGTGAACACCAAAGAGCAGTTCTAAGTGCTGCAAAGCCTTCATGGGTATTCTGTGAGGCTGGAAGTCTGGGACTTCAGCATTCTTGACCTGGCATTCACACTCAGAATTCCTCAGGCCTTGCTGGGATGGACTGCAGATCAGCAGCACCTGGTGGCCCCCCTTAGATAGCCCCAAAGCCGCTGTCCCCCATCCCACCTCCACACCCACATCTGTCTTCAGATGTGCATGGCTGTGCTGGTCAATCTTCCTATCTTTCATTAGCATTGGCTCCAGAAAACACTGGCTGGTAGCCAAGTCCTGCTCAGATCAAGCCTCATCTCAGGACCAGCTAATAGAGTTATGCAAATGGGCCCAGGTCCAAGGCCCATACTTCTTCCTTTTCCCCTGGGGCCTTTCCTGCTGATCTAGGGCTGTCTTTGGGACTTACCAAGTTTCTCCCACTCAGCATTTTATCTCACAGAGACGTGGCCTCTTAGCCTGTTTCCTTCACACTTCCTGACTTGGTTCCTCACGGAGAATAGCTGGCACCACACCACCTTACCCAACAAAAGGCCTAAGTGATAGCCTTTGGGGTGAGCATAAGGGGCCACTACCTCTTCTCTCTTCATCTCTGACTGCCACCCATTGGACGGTGGAACTTCAGGGGTCACAAAGTCCCACACATAACTACTGCCGGGACAGTTAGAAATGTACCTTTCTTGACGCCACACTCACACCTGTCTCTTTGAGTATGTACCTCCTCTGTTTAGTAAGCTCCATTTTTGCTTCACGAAGACTTAACCTAAAATTATTTTTTTACAGAGTTAGTTAAGAGCTTGGCTGTACTAGAGTGGAGATCTCTGGGAAGTCCTCAGATTGCAGAGGGTAGCATCTCCCATGGCTGGTAACATGATGGTTGATCTAATGTCAATGTGATAGGCCCAGGACCTAAATACTTGGTCAAACCTTATTCTGGATGTTATCACCAGAGGCTTTTTTTTTTTCTTTTTGGACAAAACTAACATTTAAGCTGACAGATTTTGAACAAAGTAGATTACCTTCCACTTTAACTGATAGGGTTCATCCTATCAGTTAAAGGCCTGAGGAAAACCAAGGCTGACGTCCCTGGAGCAAGAAGGCATTCTGTCTACAGGCTGTCTTTGGTTGAACTGGCTGGCCTAGCCTGCAGGTTCAGGACTTACCAGGCTTCTACCAGTTTGCAAGCCAACTCCTTACAGAAACCCTCTCCATCTACAGACACATCCTATTGGCTGTGCGTCCCTGGAGAACTTGAATAAATAAAACCATCCTTCGATGATATGTCCCTGTGCTGAACACCTGAACCACCCTTTTACTGTCGTGGAGGGTTAGGGTTGGAAGGAGCCATTGAGCAACAGCAAACAAGTGCTACTTCATCAGGCAGAAAGTTCTAACTCCAACACAGAGGTGAGACAGGCGGGCAGCCAGGTCTGTACTGCACAAGTGTGGTTCCCTGGAGATTCTGTGCCTGGCTTAGAGCCACCCTTTCCACCTCATGGGCTCCAGGGCCAGCACCCTGCTCTACTGGGAAAGAAGTGGGCTATAAGTCCTGGTAAGGAAAAAATGAATCCGTTTTCCAGGCAGCGCAATAATAGTCTGTGTAACATGAGCTACAGCAGTGGCCTTAAGTTTACACACAGATGGTGAACTGAGCCATCTTAAAATTCACTCCAAAAAGAGAAATACTATTTTTATTTTAAAAGAAAAACAAAAGCTGGGTATGGTGATACATATCCCCAATCCTAGCACTCAAGAGGCTGAGGCAGGAGGATTCTGATTTCAAGGAAGTCTAGACTACAAAGTGAGATCCCATCTCAAAAACAAGAACTTGATAGATATGGTGGTGTACACCTTTAATTCCAGCACTTCGGGGGTGGGGTGGGGCGAGCAGAGACAGATGTATGTCTGTGAATTTAAGCCCACCCTAGTCTACAAAGTGAGTTCTAGGTCAGCTAGGACCACACAGTGAGACCCTGTCTCAAAAACAAAACAAAACCAAATTCCACAAAACCAAATTCATTGTCATAATAAGTAGAATAAAATAAAGAAGAGCTAATCATGTAAGAGTCTTCAATGCAATTATTCAGACCGCAAGGCTTCAGGCAGCAACACAGACAACAGCACGGGAAAGCAAGGGCCTAGGCAGACATGTACATGAGGCAGCTAAGCCAAAAGCAAATCCCAGAGCTTCTTTGCCTTCAAGGTGAGGCCCCTCAAGGACAGAATTCCAGCCAAGCTCAGAGCCTCTGCTGTTGCCCTGAAGTTGCATGGGCTTTGGTGAGGAGAGTCCCTTTCCACAGCCTCACGTTCTGACAATGCTATCTTCATTTTCTGTGACAGTGCTATCCAATTGATGTGATGTTTGCAAGCTCTGCAGCCTCACACAGAACAAACCTTCCCAGGGTGCAGCCTGCTGACATGTCCTATGCTCTTGCGATTATGAACAGCAACCTGAGTTTGCCTCTTCCAAGTGGCAATAGCTTCTGCTTGCAGGAACTGCTCAATTTCTATGTGGATTGACTTCCAGACAAAACACCTGTTCCCACCTCTTCCTGCCTGGGCAAGGCCTGCATCTAGGCTCACCTGGCTGCCTCTAGGTAAACCTAGGCTAAAGAGGGCCTTCTGCAGATTGCTCTGCCTGCCCCTACTCCGGGCTGGGGGAGGACCTCCTGCTTCCAGTTGAGGCCTGGGGCCTGCATGGCATCACCGTGTTAGCTCTGCTTGCCCTCCAGGGTGATCTGCTGGAGCGTAACCTTTCGAAGCAGCTGCAGCAAGCCATCTGGTGTGGATTTTTTAGCTCTGCCCTCTGAGGATTCACCAGCGCTGCCAAGTCATAGAAATTCTTTCCTGGACACAGCAGCTGCTGAAGTAGGTCACCTTGCATTCTTATAGCATTTTTATGGCCAAGACAGGGGAAACCTACTTTACAATAGGTACTGAATGTTAAGACTAGGTGTAGAGAAGGAGGTGCCCAAGACAAAGCACACGCAAGTCTGTTTTGCAGAATCTTGTCTATGTGTACCTCACCACTCCGTTGTAATTCCTATAGAAAACTTGGCAGGAGTGTCTTGGATGTTTAAGGCATCTCTCTGCATATGTGGGGAACAACTAGGACACCTCAAAGAAGCCATGTCATTCCAGTGAGTACTCTGTAGTGAGAGGGGAAACAAGGCATACATGTAGAAATGAGAGAGTGACCTGATGGACACATTTTACTAGGATTAGGGGGTCTCTTGTGCCCCCCTGTCCGAAGGGTCACAGTGGCATTGAACAGAGAGGCCTTTGCTTGCAATGGAGTCATGGCAGTGGTTCTGTGAATGGCCTGAGCCTTTAGTGAACAGACACAGCATTGCCCATCAAAGAGCACATAGTTCACTTTTACTAAAAGTCCTCATTCCCCCTAGTACCACAGGGTGACTAGGAAGATAAGCAAATCGCATGTGTCCACCACGCCTGTAGAGTCACAAGCCTTGTCATTTACAGAAGCAGCCTGCGTGGTCTGACAGTTCAGAGCATGATGAGGGGCTGCGTCTCTGTGCTGGAGACACATGTGTAAGTAGCTCTTTAAGGTATACCATAAAAAGAACAAGCACAGTGCTGGGGACAGGCACATGGTTTGGGCAGTCACATAATGACATGCTAGTCCTCCCCACCCTGGATACGCTCACTCTTGCAGCTCCAGCATGATGAACTCACCATAGTACCCACATCTCCCGTTCTGGCCTCACCTCTAATGACCCTGTATCCAGCTGTCTACTGGACAACTCCAGTGGCTGCTCTAGGAGTCCTCTTCCTAATGCCTGACCCTGAACCTAGGCATCGCCCTTTGGCTAGGGGCCCATGCACACACTAAATATCACCCTAACCCTGTTTACCCATCTCAGTGGTCCCATACTAGCACAGGGACTTACGGGCTGTGGTTCAGCAGGCCTGGAGTTCCTCCACGGCCGATCTCTGTGTGGGTCTCTAGCCTTCAGGCTACACTCAATAGATTTCTCTCTTCCAGGCTGACTGTGCTTCCTCTCACAGCTCCCATCCCTCAGAACAGGGTCCCTTCCTCCCTGCATCTGCCCAGTGAACATCTACAGCTCCTGTAAGCCTCATCTGGGAAGCCGTACCCTTTTGAGAGCCTCGCCTGTCCCTTCCGAGTGGAGCTCTGCACACATGCTTTTCCTCCTCTTCATTATAACCCACAGAACTGATTAGGTGTTTGGCTGTCTCTCCCCCTGGAGACTGTGATCGCCATCCCCCCAGAGAGCTCAGGTCACAGATTTCATTTATCTTTATATCTCATCTTATGACACCTTGGATAATGGTGTGTTGACTGACTAAATGATCACAGCAAGTGCCTGAGACAGGAAACATATGTACAAGTACACACATACACAGAGAGAGGAGAACAAAGCATTTTGGCTATATTTGAACCAGTTGTGCTAATGACCCTTCCCTGCCACAAGCCCTCCCAGGCCAGTCTAGCTTAGGCCCCACTCACCGACTGCCCTGAGCAATGGTGGGCACAATATCATGGCTGGCTCGGAGTGGTTGGGTCCTGGCCTTCATGCGAGCACGCTGTATCAGATGCTTGGTTCCCTCATACCTGGCACTCAGCACAGGCTCCAGCTTGGGAACAAAGGTCCTGCAGGGTAGCACAGGCCAGGATGGACAGCGCAGGGATTAAAAGAAAATAACACGGCTTAGGAGGCTTTAACGGTATCAAGCCCAGCTCTGCCAGGAAAATCCTTGTATACACAGCCTTCCCCTTCTAACTCTCACACAGGGCTCCCTCCTCCCCACCCCACCCCAACCCCTGAGGCCTGGGAAACACCCTGAGCTCAGACAGGAGCTGTGGAGCCAACCTGACCTTGGACATCTGCTGGAAGGGGCTGGAAAAGGGGAAGGGGAGTCTGGCTATCCTATTGTTCCTCCCTGGGCAGAAGCAGGAGCTTTTGGAGAGAGGAAAAGGGAAGGTCCCAGGGTTATGGATCTGGGCCTGTGCCCAGACAGATGGTCTTTCCATGCACGGCCTCGCTGTCTCCTTCTGTCTCTCAACACCCACACATGCACCCACCCGAGCCCACACAGGATTGTCCCCAGCTCCCACCACAGACACAGGGCCAAGGCACTGCCTGTCACAGTCTTGGTCTTTTGGGGGATAATGTTTTATAAATCCTGAAGTTTTCTTGTCGTAGTCTCAATCCAGACCTGTCATGAGTCAACTCAGGCTCAAAGACTCAGGGCAGAGGGAAACCAAACTGGATTCAAAGTGGTCAGCACATGGCTCCATCTTCACAATAAGGGTCCCCTGCTGGCAAACCACCAACCAGATGCGCTGCCTCCCTGGCCAATCTAGAGCAGCAGGAGTGACAGACACCTCTTCCCAAAGCTGTCTTCCAGACAGTGACACACCACCTGTTCTGGGTTATGGAAGTAAGGCCAGCCCACACTTCCCTATGACAAGATGGCTTTCTCTGCACAGTTTGCTTTTCACAGCCAGGCTGGACAAGGGCAGGTATTCCCTGGCTTGACAAATAAGGGTGTCTGGACCCGAGAGGAATACTGACACATTGCTCAAGGTCAAACATCAATTGAGAGCTGAGCAGAGTGATGCAGATGACAGCCAGCCCCAGTCTCTAGCCTCATTCCACATCCTGTCCTGTTCCCCTGTGGGCACCAGGTGAGCAAGCATGTCTGTGGCTGAGGTCAGACACTGTCACATATGCTTGGCTCTGCTCACAGAGAGGGTCCCCAGAAAGAAAATTCAGCCAAAGGCTCAGCAGGGCTTAGATCTCGCACCTGGGGTACCCCAAACACCCTCCATATGCTACATGGGGGAGAGGGCCTCACCCTGACCTCAGGAAGTAGGAGGGGCTCTCATGACAGGAGTGGACAAAGGCCTCCAAGACAAGGGCTCCTTGGGACACCCTTGAACTGGCTCTGAGCAGATGACGGTTTTTTGTTTCCTTCTTGTCATGTGTTCCGAACACTGCTTTGGGCCAGAGGGGAGAGGCTGGTAGCATAAAGGGACCATCTGTGCCATGAGCTCTGGCAGGGTGAGGCTGGGCTTGGAAGGAGGGCTTCATCAGAATGATGCAAAAAAAAAAAAAAAAAAAAAAAAAAAAAAATTCCTTCTCCAGGCCTGTTGCCCCATGAGGCCTCCATTGGCAGGAGAGGCTCCCCTGACATAGCTTCCAGAGCAGGCAGCTCCCCAAACCGCAGCTGAGAGCAGCTGTGCTCCCGGGGGCTCCAGTTCCAACAGCAGAGATAATGAGGATACCAGGCACAGAGGTTCTCCTGCAGCCTCGGGCCTCTGGCTGCCAGCCTACATGCTCACAGCCTTCCAGTGACAGCTGTGCTTCTGTGACTGTCGGAGGGCATTTGTCACAAGGCCTGGTGGGCAGGCACTGAGAGCCCCTCAGCAGCTGGCCGGATGCTGCCGCGATCAGCCTTGCCCCCAGGTTTCTAAGCCATTTCCAGCTTCGCTGTTTCCCTTTTGGAACAGCTGTCCACCCCCTCCCCCCTTCATCAACTGCCCTGCTTCAGTCTGGCAGACAAAGCTAGTTTCTCCACTGATTAGAAAGGCAGGCTTTCTGGCTGCCTGGAGGCATCTATGCAGCAACACAGCAAGTAGGGAGGAGAGTGGCAGCCACCTTCACAGACTGCAGCCAAGGTCAGCAAAGCAAGGACGCCATTGTGCACCCTGGAGATGGAGGCTCTGCCAGCTTAGGAAGAGTGGAAGGGCTTTCTTTCCTGGGGGGGGGGGGGAGCAAGCAGGTACCACACACGCCAAGCATCACTGCACCAGAGATAACCCTCCATTCCAGAAAGATAAGTCCAAACTTCCAACTGAGGGAGACTATTCTCATTTGATCCTGGACCAGAGAGAGGCACACAGCCCCAGAGTCAACCCTTCCTATTATGAATTAAAACCCACAATCCCAGTTCTTCCAATTCCTTTGGAAGTTTCCTGGCAAAGTCAGGCAGTGTGCAGCCAGGCATAGGCAATACTAGCTACAAACAAACAGCATTTATCACCACCTTGAAGCCTGAGTCTCTGAAGCTCATTACCCCTGTGGGCGTAGGAATAAGGCGGCTGAGTGCTTTTCCTGCAGAGTCTCAGTTCCCATCGATAAGCATGAGCCTTTATAAAGGAGAGGGAGGGCTCCTACTGCTACCCTGAGCCTGGGGCTTTGGCCAGGCAGGCTATTGTGGGGCATTTGGACCACAGGACTGGCTCTTGTAGAGTGGTCATCCAAAGAACTACTTACTGGGAAAGCTACAGGTCCACGGGTGTGTGTTCCTGCCCTTGCCTCTAACCCTCAAACCACCCTCATACTGAGGACAAAGGGAGCTTGTCACCCTTGCCCTCTGCTCTAGGCCAGGTTCTTGGAGTTAAGCAGCGACCCCCCCCACCCCCCAAAACTAGGCAGGACAGGAGATCCCTATCTCTCTCACAGGCAGGAAAGCCAAGGGGAAGAGAGACACGTTTCTCTGCAGCCATCATAATCCTGGATTGCAATATTAAACTCCAGCAAGTCTGCAGTTAACCCCTTCATCTCAGGAAATAAGGACTAAACTCCAGGATGCAAACAGCAGCGGGAAAGCATGGAGCATGCAGAGCCTATCTAAAGCCTTTGCTTAGCCTTGCTCCATTTGTGTATATTAAAGCCTCTGATAACCAAGGACAGAGGTCTTTACTATTGCTTTGCAGGCAGGCAGGCAGGGAGGAAGGGAGGCAGGCAGGGAGGGAGGGAGGGAGGGAGAGAGGGAGATGGAGCCCAAAGATGTGGCTTACAGTATGCTTCAGGGTGGCCTGCCCAAATCCTCATCGCTGGACCATCTCTTCCTAGCAGTGTCACCTGGCTGAGTGCATTCAGGAATGAGTCTGTTTCCTCACCTGCTAATGGGGGCTCAGCTGTTAAGATCTGTGAGAAACAGACCCACAAATGTTAGCAATTTACTACTGTGGCTTCTATTATTAGCACAGTGCTATTTCTGCCCCTTCACTCTAGGTATGGAGACCCTTGAACACGAACTAAGGTCGCCCGCCAGTGAGCCTCCCCTGCTGTTGGCAAAGAGAAGGCATGTTTACATTCAGCTTGCAGTTTGAGAGGGCTTACTGGGTTTGCTCTAGAGGTTCAAAAGCCTCTGACAGGCTCTGTGGGAAAGGTGACTTCCACAGTGCAGGGGATAGGAGGAGGCTGGTGGGGAGCAGAGGAAGGCCCACACTCTTCTCTCTACAGAGAAGGAAGTAAGGGGTCCTTAGAAAAGGCTGATGCAGGCCATAACAGGTCTGTCCCACATTCCCAAAGAACGATGGCAAAATTCCCCAGAGCCCAGAACCAGGTCAGGCACTGGCCAGGTGGGCACTGCCTGGGTTCAGTATGGGGCTCAGGGGCAGCCAGAGCGGCAGATGTCTGAGAAGGGACTTTGCTGAAGGTCCCATTAGCCCCACCTTGAAGATTTTCATTTCTGTGAGCTCCTCCCTGTTCAGGACTGAGCCCCGTGAGGATTCTGTGTGTGGAGAGAATGTGAGTGTGGTGGCAACTGTGGCGTGGACAGTCCACCTGAAGGTCCCAAAGCAATGGCTTTGGGTGGGATCAATCCAGGGGACCGAACACCGGGCGCTATGGGAGCCGGTTAAGCGTTAAAGGCTTGGTGTGTTGCTCTGTTTTTGTTTGTTTGTTTGTTTGTTTGTCTTGTTTTTTGTTTTTCCTTTGAGTCCCTTGGGACTGCAAGTGTAGAGTTTTCTTTGTGTCTATGCATCTACATGGCCAGTACAGGATAACTGTAAGCAAGCCACACGGGGCTCAACCACTTTCTGTGACATCTTGCCCTGTGCGCTCCTCAGCAACATCTATGGCCCCAAGAATGTTGGAGCTGACCAGTGTCTTGTCCCCAAGTCTGGCTGCAGGGCTCTTCAAACTCCTTAATGCCCTCAGCCCAGAAGATTAAATAATAAATAAATAAATAAATAAATAAATAAATAAATAAGGCCAGTGACTCAAGATGGCCTCCAAACCCTCTTCCCAGGCTCCTCGATGCTCTTAGCCCACAGGACTCACACCAACCCATGTTTCCAGGAGATAAGGACCTCCTCCTGCAGTGGGAGCAGGAAGGAGACCACGGAATGCCTCTGTATTCAGATGAGATCTCAATTCCAGGCTATCCCAGGCGGGCAGCGGGGCAGGTGGGCAGGTGGGCAGGCGGGGCGGGCGGCTACCCTCTACGGATCATCACACATTCCACCTCAGATGCTCCCAAGCATTTCTCCAGCCTCTCCCATCTGGAATGTCCCTTCTGCTTCCATCCAGACCCTTGCAAGCCCACACAGGCTCCAGCTGTCAGGGAGCCCTCAATCAGCTCTTTCCCGCCTGCCTTTGCCAGGCATTTTATGAGCACCTGTTCCAGAATGGCACAGTTCCTGCCTCCAGGAACTCAAGGAGAAAGATACCAGTAATGGTATTGGTGGCAGCAGGGGCAGGCAGTGCCAGTAGGCAATGAGTGATGATGGTAAAGAGGGGCAATTCCATCTGAAAGCACACTGACACACACAAGCTGGCCCACACGCCTCTCTTCCCACAGCGGAGAACAGGCCAAGCTGGAGGGAGGTAGAAGGCCCTAGATCCCCAGCCCAACGGTTGCTTATCCAAGGGAATGGCCTGTAGAGGCATGGGAAGGACAGCTCAAGGCAGTGCCCCAGAAGCAGTCAGAGTATAAGCCTTGGGGCCCGAATGCAAGTCCTGACTCCAAGTACTGGGCTAGTCTAGAGACCTCTCTGCCAGCAAAGCAGGAACAATGGCTACCAATTGTCCAACGGACAAGTGAGATGCAGAAACAGCCCTTACACAGCACCTGGCACATAACTAGAGGGGGAAAATGGCAGTTTGCTGGTCTACTCTTTCAGCTGGCCACTAGTACTTTTTAGTCCTATAGGACTGAGCAAAAGCCTGACTCTTAATAGAGAACAACCCTGGCCAGACATGGGGGACAGAGGTCTCCTGCAGGATTTGAGGTCCTGAGTCTTTAGGTGGCTCACCTCCATGGCTGACTCCTTAAGACCACCTTGCAACAAGCTGGCCTGGATACCCCAGATTCAAGCACAGGGCTCCGAAATCAATGTCATTCTGTGAACTTATTTTATCACCTTCCAGAGTAGTAACAATTAGAAGCATAATATGTTGGGTTAACCTGGCTCAATATGCCAGGCACTCTAAGGGGACATTTTACTAGTATTTGAACAGGGTCCTAAAACAGAGTTCATCAGTCTTTCTCTCTGAGTGTATATGTCCCCTCAGACACATACACTGATTCATCACACACACATACACACACACACACACACACACACACACACACACACACACACACACACAAATCGTGCAATACACATGCATACATGTCATACCTGAGATCTGTTTGGCTGTCTGTCTCTTTTTGAGACAAGGTTTCACTATGTAGCCCAGGTGGGCATGGAACTTGTGATCCTATTGTCTCAGCCTCCTAAGTGATGAGCTGCCAGCTATGTGCCATCACACCTGACTCTCATGCTTGAACCCTGGCAAATATGGCCTGTCAGGTTAAACTAAACTAGGAATCTAGTCCGGAGAGTTCTAAACATCCTAACCGGCATGTGTGAAAGTCCTTCCCTCTCCCTGGTTGAGTGGCTCCTTTATGAGAAGCAGGTTTTGTTACTTATTATCTCAGTGCAAGCCAGGGACTGGCTTTCATTTTACAAGGGCCTCTAAGCAAAACCCCAGCAGCTGCACTTCCTTGTGAGGGAACTAGGGTGGGCTAGGGGGCTGAGTGGGAGAGTGCAGTGAAAGGGGTTCTGTCTCTACAGCAAGCAGATTCCTTTTCCCAGGCTTTCTCAGAGGGTTCACAGGGATGCAGAGAGAGGACATGAGCAGAGTATCCCTGAGGACCACAGGGGCAGGGCCAGATAAGGATGTGATGGGAGGCTGAGAACAGCAGCCAGGAAGGCAGAAGAGACCAGACATAAATACCGAGTGACGAAAGAGCCAGGCAACCCTCTCTCCTCCTGCCACCCCATCTCAGCTGAGCGAAACTCTGATTACCTGACTCTGGACACCTCATCTTGCTAAAGCAGAAGCAAGAGATGGGCTGTTTCCCAAAATTTGTATGTTGAAATCTCACCCCCCAGTGTGATGGGATTAGGAAATTAGGTGGGGGCTGATTACCACCTTTGAACTGCAAGATTGGCATTCCTGCGGTTTGTAAGTTATCTGCTGCCTAAGTAAGGCAGAGGTCTTACCCATGTTCTGGGGAGGACAATGGGACACATGGGGAGCAGCCTGATCAATAAGAACAAAGCTGACTGCTGCGGGCAGAATAGGAGCCACTCCCAGCCCCAGGGCCTATCTCAGCCTCATGTGCCAGCATTCCAGCAAAGGCTGAGGCTGAGGCCAGCCTCTGAGTGGGCACCAAGAGAAGCTCAGACCTCCATGTGGCCCCCATCACACCCCTCTTTCCCCAAACTCAGGACACCAACTTCCCCAAACAGTGATGAAAGGGCTAGAAAACAGTGTGTGGGCCCCAGTGAGAGGTTGGAGTGGAAACCCTTGATCCTGAGCCCAGCACATTCCTCTGATTAGGAAAAGAATAAGTGAAGTTAAAGTTTTGGGTTCCTGCCTGGCATTGGTGGCGCACGCCTTTAATCCCAGCACTCGGGAGGCAGAGGCAGGCGGATCTCTGTGAGTTCGAGGCCAGCCTGGTCTCCAGAGCGAGTACCAGGATAGGCGCCAAAGCTACACAGAGAAACCCTGTCTCGAAAAAAAACAAAAACAAAACAAAACAAAACAAAAACCAAACAAATAAAAAAAATTTGGGGTTCCTGTACGTTTCCTAAGGAGTTTCACATCCATGTCCTTAGCTTCACACTAACCCTGCGAAGTAATCAGACAGCTATGACTTCTCAGCTTGAAAGAGACAGAAGCCTAGGCAGGGGAAACGGCCTCCAGGACACAAAGCAGGTAATTGGAAGGCTTGTTGCAGACCTCTGCACACAGTGGCTCAAATGACAGGCAGGGTCTGTCACAGGGTCTCAAGGACGATGGTTGGCAGTGGCCACTATCCACCGGTGAAGGTTTGCCTTTCTCTCCTCGGGCCTTTGCAAGGTTTCCTTCTGCTCTGGTGCAGGGTATGTGGAGGAATGGCAGTAAGGAAGAGCCCTTACCTGCTCTGACCTGAGTCCTGCAGGGGGTTGCCCGAGTCCCAGTCCACGTCTCCCGCAGGTCGCTCTAGGGCCCAGAGCAGAAGCAGAGATCAGGACAGAGCCACCAACTGGGCTCTCAGCTGCTACTCAGTGAACACAGAGGAGAGATGCTCTAGTCCCTCTGTGGGCTGAGTGCCTATGTCCCCCAAGTTCACACACATAATCTCCGGTATGATGGGATTGGAAAGTGGGGACTGTGACCCATGTTCTGGTCTGAGAAATGGAGGCACAGGCTGTCACAAAGACTGAGTGAACCGAGAGTGGGTGAAGAGGACCTCATGAATGCCCTCCGGTAAGGTAGTGAGAAAGCTCAAGAAAGGATGTCTTTTGGAGTCCTGTGTTGCTCTCTGCCCAACCTCTGCAGTGAAGTGCTCCTGCCTGCCAGCCCACCAGAGGGCGCAAAGCACAGTGGGGGATGACGTCATCAGTGGTGTATGAGGCCACTCTGCAAAGATATAGGGAAGAGTCACACGGCCTCTGTCCCCAAGCACAAGGGATGGCCTCCCACTGATATGTAGGGTCACAGGGTTTGTGGCAGTTAAGGCTGCTTATGAGGTATTAAGGGCCTCATGTCCCAGCTGGATAGTGACTATTTGAGTGACATTATTGTGTTCTCCCATCTTTCCGGTTTCCCTACCACTTCCCATTTGCTTCAACCCAGGCCTTCAATATGAGGCTCACCTGACGCAGCCCTGTCCCAGGATGGAGTACAGTCTGGGCTTCCCACCTTGGGAGGACTCTGTCTGGAAACTTTCAGCATCTCCTGCAGCAGGAGGCGGTTCCTTTCCACCTGGTCAGACAGGGACAAAGCATGCGTCCCAGTGCCCTCCAGGCCACCAGCTCTCCGAAGCACCTCCTGCAGGTCTGTTCTGGGGACTAAGTCCTCCTTGGAGGTTAGGGCTGTGCTGTCTAGATCTGCCTTGGTGACCACACCGTCTCCAAGTGTGTATGGTCTTTTCTTCTTCAGGCTGCTCAAGTGGGTGGTTTTAGAGGCACCAAGCCCCTGTAGCTGGCCTGAAGAAACATGGTTGTTGGGGCTCTCTTGTAAAGAGCCAGGTCCTGGTGCTGGGCCTTCCACATGATCAGCCAGCATCCATGCCGCTTCTGGGGACCACAGGCTTTGCCCATTCCAGCTCTCAAGGCCAGGGGTAGATGGCCTGGATCCACCATTCCTGGCAGGTTTCTTCTCATTAACACTGCTGTCTAGCTGCCCACCAATCTGGTTCTGAGCATGGGGGACCACCAGGGCATCTGAGAGAGGAGAGCTCTCAGGGAGGCTCCAGACTGCTTCAGACTTGACTTGGTGGCACTTGGATTTTGTGGGGGATGGACGCTCGTAGGAATTGGGACAGCAGGGATTTGCCCCCTGTTTCCTTGCCATCATTTTCTCCTTCAAGGCCTTCACCTTGGACTCGAGCACAGAAGGGCCTTGAAGCTGCAGCGTCCATGCCCCAAGAGGCTTGGGAACCATGAGGCTAGGAAGTCGGTCTTCCTGGGGGCAGAGTGTGGGTCTTGGGAGGGGTCCATTGTCTGGTTGTTCAGGACCATTTCTGGCCACAGCTGGAGTCACATGCATGGGGCTGGTTGTTCTGTTCCCTGACCTGGATGCTCTGCAGGAAAAGGGAGAAGCTGAAACCCTGTACCTGGATGGCTCTGGTAACCTGCTTGGTCCCCCAGAGTGCTCTGATATGGACTCCTGCTCAGATATCTCAAGACAGAGCAGAGGGGTGTCCTCTACATAAAGTGGACACATATTGGAAAGGACAAGTCAAAGGACAATATGAACAAGTTACTACCAAGCTTATTTCCTCCTGACACGAGTAATGTTCTTTCATGGGTGAGGAAGTAAGAGCATGGGCAACTTGCCAGTGTTTATACCATTAAAGAAAATGACACCACTTCCCCAGCAACCACTAGCTGCCAATAGACCCTCAGAGGGTCTGGGACTTTATGCATGTTGTGTTCCCAGCTTTTCTAACCCCATTTTACAGGTGAGCAAAACAAGGCTTCAAACAATTAATCCTATGTCCAATATGGACCACAGTAAAAAGCAGTGTGATTTCCCAACCCTGGGCTAATGGATAGCCTCAGAGCATGTCAGTGTTGGCTAATGGCCAATATACTCTTCCTTGTGGACGAAGGACCTGTGCTTCCAGTAGAAGGTGGTGCCTGCCAGCTTCATCCCAACCACAGTGGTGGAAGCCATAGACTCAAAAGGAGATAGTGACAGTCATAAACTATCAGCCATCTGCTGTATGCCAGGCAGAGACTTTTCAAACACCCCAACATTCTCTAAAGTAATTCGGACATATCTGTGTTAGAATGGTATTAGTATCCTCTTTTTTAACAGATGAGGAAACTGAGGCATAGAGAAATTACACCCCATGGATGCCATGGGGGAGTCCAGCTTGTAATCAAAAGCTTTTACCCCAAGCTCAGTGCTCTTCCAGAACAGTGATCAATTAATCACACTCCCCTATTCTTAGGTAAGACCTGAGACCATGGTAGTCACAAACCTCACCAGTGTTACACAGCTCCTTGGTGGCTGCTGATTCCAATGGCTATACAGAGAAGGACAGTCACAACTGTTTTACTCACTGTATACACTACTGTGTCTTATGGTTGCTTTGTTAGACTACTCTGAGAAATCATCTTAAGTAAACTCAGTGTATAAGAATCCATGAATAAACGACAGATTAGGAGTTAATTACTCCCTTCACACAATAAGGGTCCACCAGAAGATGTTCTTAAAGCCTTCATTCAGTTCCTCTATAGTCACTTATTACAATTCAATTTATACGCTTTTCAGGGACATATGTATTTTATAAAGCAGGGTACACCTACAACACAACATGTCACAGCAATAAATCCGTGAAGTTTAAGGATTATCTTTAGGACAGAAGTCCTTTCCTCTACTGGATCATCCAGAGCAGTGGTTCTCAACCTGTGCGTCAAGACCCTTTCAACAGGGGTCGAAAGACCCTTTCAACAGGGGTCGCCTAAGACCATCGGAAAACAAAGATATTTACATTACGATTCCCAACAGCAGCAAAATTACAGTTGTGAAGTAGCAACGGAAATAATTTTATGGTGGGGGTCACCACAACATGGGGGAACTGTATTAAAGGTCACAGCTTTAGGAAGGTTGAGAACTAACGATATGGACTACACTAGGCTTCTCTTTGCAGCCCAGCTGTCTCTTCTGAGGTCCAATCCAGAGGCCAGGGTTGGGACTGTAACATGAACCCTTTCAGTAAAATAACTCCAGAGAACTCCAGAGCCCTTAAACTCTGGAAGGAACTGCGCTCCAGACAGCCTTGTCTGCAGACCTTAAAGAATGAGACCCTCCCCCTGAAGGCCTCTGGACCGTATTCCTGGAAGACGTTACCGAGTCCTCCACTCCTAGCATCGACACTCTAACTCGGGAAAACTGGAACGAAAATGGACGTGAAGAGCCTCCTCAACTCTTCCGGCTGTATCGCGGTGGAGGTCGAGTCTCGGGGGGGTCCAGGTCCCCTCTGCGCCCCCCACCCCGCCCGCTCCTCTCCGTACTCACTGAAAGCGGCGCGCAGTCTTCGCTGCCGCCTCCATCCCCTCCAACCCTCGGGGAGGCGAGGCCCTGGCGCACTCTCCCTGCCCCGGGCCGCAGCAGAGTCCCGGGAAGGACTCGCCCTAAATCCGAGCAGGCGGGAGTGTGACCCGCAGGCCTCGCCCCTGGGATGGCGTCCGGCCCCGGGGCCTGCGAAGCGAGGCCGACGGGAATGCTCTGCGCCCCAGGCCCCGCAACGACCGCTACTTAATGGCTTTGCTTGAAGGTGAGAGGCCCAGCCGGCCGCCCGGGAAGAGAGGGCGAGGAAGGCGAGAGGAGGGGCAGCGGAAGGGGCTGGAGGAGCCGCGACCTCGGTCTGTCCCCACCCCCAGCCTCCCGAGACCTCCTGGGGTCGTGGCCGCTCAACGGGGCGCAAGCTGGGAGCTGGGAGCCCGGAGCAGCCGCGGCTCCGCTCTCCTGCTGCCCAGACGGCGGGAGATGCTCCTGGAGTAAAGAGCGCATGGGCTGCCACCGGACGCCGGACCAAATCCCTCCCCGGGGACGCGGGGGCGAAGGCGGAGGGGAGACGAAGTGACTGTGGGGGCGCAGCCGGAGTGCCGGAGGCGCCACGCTTCAGCCGACTACGCCAGCTCTGCTGGAGGGGGAAGCTGAGGAACGCTGGGTGTAGATAACGTTTCGGGATGAGTCGGTGGACTTCCCCGCAGGGCCGACCCCATCGCCCTTGGGCGCCCTCCCAGGTCAAGGTCATTGGCCGCAGCTGTGTTAGAGGCGCTAAGGCAGGCCCGGGTGGACCGCTCATCTTGTCCGCCAAAAGTGGGGTTTGCCTTGGGAAGGGACCGGTTCGCAGGGCCCTGAGGATGCTCGAACAGACCTGGGTTCAGGCCTAAGCTGAGGGAGCAACAGAGCATTCTCCATCTAACAAGAGGGAGGTGACAAAGTCTCTCTCCAATGTCCAAACACATTTTTTTGAGGGGGGGAAATGCACACTAAGAGGAATCAGGACATTTCACATTTCAAAAACATCTGAAAAGAGAAAGTCCTCGTGAATCGTTCCTTTGCCGAGTTTTACCTCAAGCTAAAGTACTTAACCTTTTGTGCCGGTCAGCTGCTAGATGGCAGGGGCTGCACAGAGCTAAGGGTCTGAGCACGGCACATGGAGGAAACAACAGTTCTGCCCCTTGTTCTGGTGTGTGTGGGCCTGTAATCCCAGTTGATCTGGAGATTGAAGCAGGAGGATCTGCTAGTTCCAGGCCAACCTAGTCAATTTCGTGAGACCGTTTCTCAAAATGAAAAGTGAAGAAACAGGCCGAGTGAGGATGTCGTGCTGGAGTAGAGAATCTGCTTTGTGTGCAAGAGGTCCTGGGTGCAATCTGAGCACTACAGTAACCAAAAGGATGTCTACCTCCCCTAAAGTGAGCTGAATGCTAGTAGGAGACCTGGGCAGGTAATCCAGCCCAGATCTGAGCAGACTGGCAGAAACTGACTGTAGGACCAATTTAGGGGCCACAGATGTTATCCACAAAACCCTGTGTAAGTGAGCAAGTCCAAGTCCCACAGCCTGGTGAACAGAGTCAGAGGCGCCTTCCTGCCATGTTCCCAGAATAAGTGTTCCTTAAACAAGGCACTTTCTGCTCTGCTTTAATGCTGAGCACGGCACAATACCGTGACAACTTATCATGGAGGGCCTGTCTACCTGCACAGGCACTGTCTAAGCACTGTGCAGTCATCTTACTGCAACTTCAAGGGTTCAGCACTATTATTGTCCCCTTGTACAACTACGTGAGCAGTCAGGGCCAAGCTAGTAAGTGCAGGTCTTCAAGGACTCAAGGATCTCCATTGACACACTGTTCAGTGTGGATGTTAGCATCTGCAGCATGACATGAAATATTTAGTCTTTAAAAACTCAAATTGAAGCCGGGTAGTGGTGGCGCACGCCTTTAATCCCAGCACTTGCGAGGCAGAGGCAGGCGAATCTTTGCGAGTTTCAGACTAGCCAGTGCTACACAGTGAGACCCTGTCAAAACAAAACAAAACAAAACAAACAAAAACAAAAACAAACCCCAAATAAATCAATCACTTTGAATCAGTTTAGGATGTAGTTCAGTAGGTAGTGTTCCTCTAGCAAGTGTGAAGCCCTCCTGGGCTTGGGTTTGATACCTAGCACCACATAACTGGGTGTGGTTGTTGTATACACTTGTAATCCTAGCACTTAAGAAAGCAGAGGTAGGAATACCACAAGTTCAAGATCGTCCTCAGTTTACAGTTACACAGGAAAATTCACAGCCAACCTTGCATAGATCAGACCCTGTCTCTAAACACCAAACAGCAAAATCCTCTAATCAGAGCCAGGGAGATGGTTCAGTGGTTAAGAACACTGCCTGCTCTTCCAGAGGATCTGGGCTCAATTCTCAGCACCCACTTGACAGCTTCCACCTGTCTGTAATTCCAGTTCCAGGGGATCTGACACCTTCTGGACTCTGAGGGCACCAATCATGAAGTAGTACACAAACATACATGCAGGCAAAGCACCTGTATTAGTCAGGTTTCTCTATGGCCACAGAACTTATAAAATGAGTCTCTCTCTCTCTCTCTCTCTCTCTCTCTCTCTCTCTCTCTCTCTCTCTCAATTCATGTAAGCCATGAATTAGAATGGCTTACAGGCTGCAGTCCAACAATGGCTAGCTGCAAATGGAAGTCTAAGAACCCAGTAGCTGCTCAGTCCCACAAGGCTGGGTGTCTCAGCTGGTCTTCTGTGTATGCTGGGGTCCTGAAGAAGTAGGCTCCAATGCCAATGGCTGTGCTGACAAGTCGAGGGTGAGCAGGTGAAGAATGAACAACTCCCTCCTTCTTCCCTTGTCCTTCTATTCGCTTCTAGCAGAAGGCGTGGCCTAGATTAAAGGTGTGCCTTCTGACTTCAGGATCTGGATCAGAGGCATGCTGTCTTCCTGCCTCCAGATCTGGATCACAGGTGAATCCCTCCATGTCTGGATTCTAGTGCATTCCAGATGTAGTCAGGTTGACAACCAAGAGTAGTCATGACAGCACCCATACACATAAAATAAAAGCAAATCATCATCATAATCATCTGTGGGGGGTGTGTGTATGAATTTTTTCAGTACCCAAAATGTGCCATCAAGGGGTGGGTAGCCCTTCCTCTCTGGATTCTGCTTGTTGTTCCTTATTCCTGCTGTCCAAGGAAAACCCTGAAAACAGGTTAGCCCCTTCAGGTCTTCCACAGACAGCATCACAGAACAGTTGCTACTGGGACCCACAAAACTAAGGACTCTCTTTAATCTTTACAAAACAGGAATGGTGCAGTGTGCCTCCACTTCTGCAGTGTGGAAATTTGGGGGTTCAGGGACAGTGACTTGCTCTGGGCCTCACAACTAATGTAGCTAGAAGGTGAACCCAGTCCTATCTGGCTCCAAGGTAGTCTGCCTTGCTTCTTCTCTGAACTCAGACTCCCACAGGTATTTCCCAGGGCTCCTGGTCCCTTCCTCCCAGCGAAGTTAATGATCTGTAAGGCACATTTCTGCAAGTTTCAGAAGGTTTAATGTTTAAAGGAACCCTGCCTTCCCCCAGCCCTCTAAGATGCAAACAGTCGCCTTTGGTTTACTCATTAATTTGTTTGGGGAAGAAGAGGAGCCTCCAGTCCTAAAGACAACAAAGAGCAATTCTTAAAATGCTGTTAAATTATCCTGTGCTGTGGGTGTTGTATACTTAATCCCAGCACGCAGGAACCTGAAACAAAGGGATGGCCACAAATTTGAGACTAGCCTGGTCTATGTGTAACACATACCAGGCCTGCTAGGGCTTCATAGCAAGACCTGTCTCAAAATACCAAACCACCAGCAAAGCTTCATCATGCCATCCATATTTCAGGAGGCGCCTCTCGCTTCAGCTGGACTCTGCTTTTTTCCACAGACATCTGGTGAACTCCTGGTGCATCGGAACTACGGAACAAAATGAAGCTCTGTAGATTATGACCTTGAGTTTCCAGCAAAAGAGAAGCAGGAGGGACAGGCATGTACACTTTTGTGTTGGAGTTTCAGGTCAGTCTAGCGCAGGGTGGTGTGAACTGCTTGCAGGAACAGCTGATTGAGGGGAAGGTGTTGTGTGGGAAGTGGTGTCACCGGGAACTGGGGCTCAGAATCGGCAGCGGGGAGCTTGGGTAGGAAGATGTATCTGAGAAAGAATAGCATATGCACAGCATAGACGGGTGTGGAAGTGCCTGGGAAAACACACAGCCCTTCACCCATTTGAGCAGCTAGAGGACAACTCTCCTAGAAGCCTCTGATTCACCTTAGGTGAGGCACAGGCAGGCCTCCCCCCCCCCTCAGCTTCTCCACGGTGCTGCTCCAAACCCAGCAGGGCTGAGGAGCCCGAGGGGTGTGAATCCGGGTTTCACATAGGACAGAGAAATGAGAAAGATTGTGCTTGCAGGTCACAAGGCTAGAGTCCAGTCAGGCAGAAACAAGGTGGGCGAGACATAATGTCGTGCCCTACTGTACAGACTAAGGACACTTGCTCGACTGGAAACCTGTCTTTACCAAGCTCTTCTGTCTTGTATTTGAGTGGGCACATGATGAAGGGACAAGGCAGCTGGCCCTAGCTTCAGGGCATATAGGCAGGAGCCAGAGACAGTGAGACTGAGCACTCTGTGATCTTCTAGTACTTGGGGTTCTAGGGACGAGACTGACCATGGCACCTGTGGACTCCCTCCCTGGTCACTGGCAAGAGACTGCTTCCATGGTCTCCTCCATGGGCGTTGATTCTTTGGGATGGAGAGGACCCAGGAATCTATGTCCTGATGAGCTTGCCAGGCAATTTGAAGCACACAGATCCCTCCAGCTCTAACTCTCACAAACCTTGGCAGCTGCCCTCACACCCCACAGTGTCAAGCTGCTTTTGTTTCCCCAACTGTGGGGGCTGATTTGGTCTCCTTGCTCTTTGCCCAGGCTTCAGTCCAGCCATGCAATGACCCTGCCACTGTGGACATCTCCATTCATGTATTGAAGCCTTAATCCCTATTATGACTGTGTTGGGAGATGAGATCATTGGGAGGTAGTTAGGTCACAAGGATGGGCCCCCACAACGCGGTGAGGGACATTACAAGAAGAGATGCTGGTGAGCTTGCTGTCTCTCTGCTAACCCCTTCCCTGACAAATGAGAGAAAACGTCAACCAGGAGAATGGTCCTTCCTCACAGACCCCCCACACACCGTCTTCCTAACTCAGAGATGTCAGGACTAGGAGAAAGAAGTGTCTGTTCTCCAAGCCACTCAACCCGCTTTCCCTATTTTAGGTTTGTTTTTTGAGAAAGGGTCTCTTGTAGGTTGACCTTTAACTTGTAAGTATATTAAAGATGACCTTGAGCTCCTAATTCCCCTGCAGCTACCTTACTAGTACTCCAGGCGTGCTCCACCACACTCACGTAGCATCCTATCCTTGTCCTAACACCCTGCCCAGTCCTATCGAAACAACGATCACACGTTTTCCCACTAGAAAACTCCCTATAGTAGTGTGGTGTCTGATTCTCACTGTGTCCCTGGCTACACAAAGGGTGTTGATGGCTAAGGAAAAAAAGAGAGAGAGAGAGAGAGAGAGAGAGAGAGAGAGAGAGAAACCCCTACTAGAAGGATGCTTAAGGACTGCTGATTGCCAAGTAGACTTAGCTTACTTTCATGGGTTTCCAGCATCCACTCAGAACAGCCAGTCCTGCCCTACGCTCTTTGAGAAA